TTACAATGGTTGGCTAATGCAGTTGGTATAATTGTCAAGAAAAAGTTGGTTGTAGCGCCTCATTTCACAAATTAGAATTTTTAGGTATTTTTATTTTTGAAACTGAGATAGATTTTTAAAAATTTAGCATATTTATCAAGCATAATTAACGTTCCAAATAATTATAAAGCTGTAGCATGCTTTCAGGCCTGGCTATTTTTTTAGCTTTTCCTATGCTGTAAGGAAATTTGTAACTACTTCTTTTAGAAAATAGTATTTTAAATCTGAACTAATAGAAAATTTCAAACAAAGAATTTTCTCTTATAATGTTTATGCTTTTTATTGGTGTAAATAAGTAGAAAATACTAAAATACCCAAAAATGAATTTTTAAAAATTTTTACTTAAAATTTTAAGTTGTGCTGCTTTTTTAAGATTACAGGCGAATATTATAGCATATTTTATATAAAGGAGTTTTATTTTAATTATATTTCACAATACATCATAGTGATAAACACTTTTAACACCTTAATAATTTTTATACATTTATTCTAATGTCAAAATTGTAAACTGTAATAATTGATTGTACTAACATTTTATAGTGATTATTTTTTTAAATTTAAATCTAATACTGCATAAGATTTTTTTATTTACTGTGAATTTAATTTATTAGTGCAAAGGGGTGGTAGTCGAGAAAGGCTATTAGTTTCGAAACGGCATTTTACTCTGTTTCATTATAAACGTCCGTTTCACTTTGCAAATTGTTGCCACCAAATATTATTGCCTTGTATTATATTTAAAGAAATTTAATAATAAATAGTCTGCATGAATACATGTATGTTTCTCGCATTGTGAAAAAACGACGTTTATTTAGAGCCATCAAATTTTGAACAACATAATCCTCCACCCGAACAGCCGAATTTCGAATTTGTTTCAATCCATTTCATATTTTGTAAAACATTAATGAATTGTTGATTAAGAAACTCAACGAGTTCAAAGCGAGCAATGGCAACACTGTGCGGAAAATAACATCTTTATCTGCAGCGCGGAAATTCTAAAGATATGCTGTTTTCAAATATTTTGTGATACTGCTGTTGAATTGAATTTTGTGTTGTTTACGTGCGAAGAACATGATATTCAATAAATAGAGGTAACATAAAATCTGAGCGCTTCCAGATTTTATTTATTTATTTATTTTTATTACACTGAGATAAGTTTATGCTCCGAATTTTATGAATTATTAAAATAAATAATCATCATATGATGTTAATAATTAATAAACATATGATCAAATAAATTATTGTCTTGTAATGTTATAATAATTTTATAAACCACTGCCTGAAAATGCTTATAAAATTTTAAAATATAGATATCAGATCTTGTTTAATTTTGCTTTATTTGTTTCAAAGCTTCATGTACTATCAATCTTATTTAATTTTACGTTATTCATACGCAAAATTAAGTTCATAAATTTTGTGCTTAGAGTTTTTACCGTTTTACCAAAGTAAAAATGTTTGTACACGAATTACGCGTGAAAATTTGGAAAAAAACTGTGGCTTTTATAATCTCATCACTATACAACGTATCACATTTAATAATTAAAAAGAGTTATGTGATACAAACGCCATAGGTTTCAGTGTTAAAGTAAACCAGATCGTCTCTACTCTTTCTTGCCGACATGTCGGTGACGCACGCCCCGCCTACTAGGTTAGTCTGTCTCTTATAAGGTCCATGGCGTGGATCGACGCATCCGCCGTAAAGCTGTGGCGGTCCCACAAGTTACTTGTACCGTGATTCCGCAGCATGTGTAAGATGCCCTGGATGTTCCCGTGTCGACCAGAGCCATTTCCCGTCGATTGGTTGAACGTGGCCTGAACTCACGAAATACCCTCATATGCGGTCAGGTCGTAAATTTAGAACCCCTTTTTTCACAGGGGGGCTGAAAAGGAAGGGATACTCTTGCTCCTGGTCTTGAGAAAATGTGGGGGTCGTTTAAACATCTAACTTCTCTACATTCAGTTTTATACAGAGGAAAATACAAATTGAATTCTTCGAATGAATGCAATTTTGTACAATGAAAATGTATTATTTAACGATAAACTGTAAGATAAATAACATCTTTTTTTAAAGCCATAGGTGTAGAAAGACAGATATTTGTTACACGAATGAATTTGTAGTAAATATTGATTTTTACATTTCGAATGCTATGTTCCATGTATGCGAAGTAGCTGAGTATGTGAGATAATAGTCAAAACCGAATGGCTTTCAACCTTTTCACGGCTAAGGACTGTTTCTCAATTACATTGTGGTCGCTGCTTTTTGGTTAATTTTCTAATGAAATATAAATGTATTTTTAAAATATAAATTGTATTTATTTATTATTATATTATTTATATAAATTGTATATATATTTTTTTATTTGAGACTTATGAATAAAATAACGCAAACTAGACTGCAGAAAATTCTTAAGAATGAAGTTAAATAATACTGAAAAATACATTATTGATGCACTTTTGTGTTTTATATGTAGTAGTATTAACTACTACTATAATCCTTAAATGGAAATCCTTAAATTATATATATCTATGTATAGGTATATATAAATGGAATCAAATATAGAACAAGGTATAAAATATCTTTATTATACAATGTTCATTACAATACGTATATTTACGTAATATCAATATAAATAGTTAGTTAGGTTTCGTACATATATAATTTATTTTTATATTTTGTATTTTTTGTATTAGATTCAGTATTGTATACGTATCTGAAGTTTAATTTTACTTGTTCTCTTTTTGGGTTACGACTTTAAATGAGAGAGAATTGTTAGGGCCTTCATAGGGATTACATTATATACAATCAGTTAGGATCCGACTTTTCCTTTCTTTTAATCCTTATATATATTGAAATACTACTTGATAAGTATACATAAAATATAGCAGTTTATTAAGCTACTTATTTATATATCTGTTGTTTGGTCTGGTTTGTTTGATTATAGCAAAGCATTCGACGGTTATTTGCCTAAAGGTGCCTCGTGGAGAACTTTCTAAGCAAAACTGACTCTTATGCACGTTACACGTGGGGAAAACCTCGAAAACGCCAATACAGCCATCCCCGTCGATGCGGATTCGAACCCCGGATCGACCTGCCAGAGTTCAACGACTTTACAGCTCAGCCGCTAGTGAGCCACACATATACATTAAATAGTATTTACATGTCGTTTATAAAGTATAATTGAGTGCAATTTAATCATAAAGAGTTAGAAAATATTCTACGGAATTACTTCACTTCGTAGACTTTTTGTTAAGCTTCACCATATTTCTTAAAGAGAATCTCAATGCTGGTTCCATTTCCAAGCTGTTTATGTACCTTATTTTTCATGCTTTGAATTATATTTAGAAAATTATTTCACTTGGTTATAGCTGAAAATACAGTTTTTTAATTGAAGAATTTAAGGGTAAGAAGAAAATTATGCCTTTTTCTAATTATTCTTGAAGCATTTAAGTTTTTTTAAAAAAAGCGCACATTAATACGGATCACTGAACTAAAGTGCTCGATACAAGACAGATTAATTAGCTACTAAATTTTGATTTTCGTTGAGTAAAAATGAATTCATCTGCATTCTATAAGAAAATAAATATTCAAAAAATGTTTTTTTTCCTATTCTCGCAGTCATAATATTTTTCTTAAATATTCAGCTAATTCATATTCAAATATTCCAATCCATTACAATAAGTAATAAATAGATATACAGTAAATAAATAATTAAAATCAATTAAATGGAATTTTATTGATTGCCAGATAATTTAATTGCCATTTTCCCTCTGATAAACTCCTTTATAGGGTTTACCTGAGTTCAATAGCAGTCGATCAGCTTTTGTTGGGGGTGAATTTTTCTTTATGGTATGCTTACGTTATATATGTATGCATTACCATGCATTGCTCATACTCGTCAATTGCAAGCTTTTAATATTTTTGGAAAAAAATCAATTTGAGAATCCAGAAAATGATTTTAGCGACGCTAAAACTATTATTACTAGGCACACTCTTGCCACAGTGTTTAAAAAAAATCCCATTGTTTAAAGGTAGATTCTATGCTCATATTTTAGTCTAAAATTAAAAGCTGCGAGTCAAAATTAAGGGGGTTGCTCTTAGAAAGCCTCAATTAGAAGTAGTTATAGGAAATGTTAATCAATACTTATAATCTTACGGATTAAACACTTATTCCCTATTTGATCACGTGTATGGCAAACAGATATTCGTCATTCATAAAGAAAAGAAAGGTGAATCAAAATGAGTTATATTCTTGTTTTTCCAACTGCAAAAACATCTTAAGATACTATCGGATTTAATCTTTAAATTATTCCAGTAATAATCAGAACAATGGGGGCCATTATTCTTAACTATAATTTACTAATTTAAATCCTATTTTGGTTTCAAATGGCTTCATTAATTCGTTAATGATATACTGATATACTGATACTGAATTAGAGCTAAAAACACTTTTTTTTAAAAAAAATATATTTCCCCTTATGATCCCTGACACAGCCGTTTACTTTCCCTTTCCGTAATTTACGTCAGTCCCCTGCTCTTGACCGCATTTGCCAAGCCACCGAACTCACAGCGTCCGTTAAGAAGACTGCCATTGACCCCACAGCATAGACGCCAACGTTTAGAATGGTGCCGGACTGGAGCGATGTGGATGACAGAATGAAACGTCGTGTTCTCAGATGAGTCACGCTTCTGTTTATCCAGTGACAGTCGACGTGGGGACAGTAACTGTGGAACTCCCCACCGCGCAACATCGTGGCATAATGGTTTTGGGCGCTATTGCCTACGATTCCAGGTCACCTCTAGTTCGTATTCAGGGCACTATGACGGCCCAACGATACTTGGATAATGTACTGCGGCCGGTGGCAATCCCCTACCTTCAGGGGCTGCATAATGCGATTTTTCAGCAGGATAATGCCCGAAAACACAGTGCTCGCATCTGCCAACATGCTCTGCAAGGTATACAGATGCTTCCCTGGCCACCGTACTCTCCTGACTTGTCACCAATCGAACATGTGTGGGATGTGATTGGAGGTCGTTAGCAGAATCTGCCCCAGCCTCGTTCAGAAGACGAATTGTGGCAAATGGTTGAAAGGAAATGGAGAGTCATTCCTCAGGACACCATTCGCACTCTTACTGACTCTATGCCTAGACGTGTTTCTCCGTGCATCGCTGTCCGCGGTGTTCCTACATCCTATTAAGCCGACGCCTTTCTCGCTCTGTATTCTGACTATCATTTTGAAATAAAGATCGCTTATTGCTGCTTGCTGTCTCTGTCTTTTTTCCAAATTTCATCATTTTCTGACCACTCCTTCTTGGTGTTGCATTTTCAGTGTCGAGCAGTGTATTTCAAAGCAGCTTTCAGATAATGTCTGGAATGGTATGGACAATATAAGCAAATGCATTATAAATTATATGCACGTAGAATATTGTTTACACCTTAAGTTATTTTCCAGATTTAAATTATGGAATATAAAGTAAGCTCCTTTGTAGCATAGCTTGCGGATAATGTTCTAAATAAATATTCCATGATATGTGCTGTCTAAATTTTCCTTGTTTTCTTTACTTTTCATTGAATTTGAGATTTTAAGTAATTATTTCTATAGGTAAGTAAATTTTGATTTCTGTGTCATCCATATCAGATTTTATTAGTTTACAGCTTAATAAAATAAATAAATAAGACACTTCATTAGCATAAATCATATAATGGAAAACAGCAATTGTCAGCATTTAAGACGTAACAGTTTATGAGAACTTCTATACACAGCTAAACCAACGCATAATATTAATATTGAACAGGGTATATTTCTAATTCAATTTATTCTTAATACTACAATATTTAGAGTGGATTTTAAAAATCTGTGCATCTGGAGATTTGTTGTTCTTTTCTCCTATGATACCATAGTTTGCACATAGTTATTTGTAACTTTTTTTTAAACTTTACTGGTATACAAGAACAACTTTTTGAATTTTAGAAATCTAAATGCTTTTTCATAATCAGTGACTTGTGTTTTGGTATTCTTTTAGGACGACATTTTTTCTTTTCTGGTTTCGTGTCAGAAACTGAAGAAAACTGTACTTTTGATTTTTTCAGAAATTCGACATCCATTTGTTCATCTAGATAAACGCTGTTAATGAAATTGAGCAGAAGATCTACCTTGCCATTGAAAGAATCCATAACATTTGTTTTTTTCTCGACTTCTTTTAAACCTACTGGTAATACCTTATTTTGATTCTTTTGAATTCCCAAAAACAATTTCATACGACCAAATATGAAAGGTACCAATTCGTAGTCATTGTTTTGCAACTTAACGTCATATTTCACTTCTTCAAACGACTGAATGATTATAGTCAAAAGAATATTAACCAGGATAACAGAGGCGGTTAAAGCAAAAGTAAAAAAGGCTAAGGGTGCTAGAATTGGTGATGCAGCTTCCATGTCTTCGTAATTGAATTTCTTAAGCATCATGCTTATAGATGACTCAAAAGCCGCCAAAAAGGTACAGAATTCAAGAACAGCATGACCAAGGATCAACCAAAAGAGAGCAACAAAAGCAAAAAATGTTATAAGAAGGCATACCCCATAACCTTTCAGCTCTCTAGCGCACAATCTCAAGGTAGCTATCATGCTACCAATTCTTTTATTAAACCTCAAGAGTTTTAAAAACTTTAAAGTCGCAAGTGACATTAAAAAGCCAATGAGATAACAGAAAGTTTCGTCCAGAATCAGAGCTTCTTGTAATTTAATATATCCTGTACCTTCCGTAGCTGTAAATCTCTCCAGAATTCTCCACGTTATGATCATTTTATATATTTCGACACTAATAGCTGCATAAGCAGCACATAGATTTGCCAGTTCAGCAATATTCCAGTACTCTGTAAAATAACTTTTACCTTGTTTGCAACTAGCAGATAATTCATACACCGTATAGTAAGCAGTAAAAAAAAGGAAACCTATTTGGCAACCTAATTGCAACAATCCAGCCCCTGTATGGTAATGAAGTAACTTGATTGGATCAATATGGTAATATGGTACGATTCCTCCCCCTGGTAAAAATTCCGCCACAATAGTCGAAACCACAAATAAATTAACTTGGGCATTATAAGTACCAAATTCTACAAAGACTGCTCTTGTATCGCTATTGATCCAGGAAGTTTTTTCTAATTCCAGCATCTTTGTTATGAGCTTCTCTCCATCTTCATATCGTTTAGCGTCTAGACGAACTATGAAACCTCCTCCACCGTACCAGTCTAGTTGCCCCCAGAAAGGAAATCCGTTTAACTCACTAGCAGTCATGTATTTGTACTCCGGTGGCACTTTCGATTCCATTGTAATGTTCGAATGCCATTGTTTTTCATAAAAACCACTCTGTTCGTTTATTAAACCTCCATATCCTGCACACTCGGATACTACACTTTCCATCTGCCAAGGTACAGAGCAGGAATCTATAAGAGAAAATTCACTGATACATAAGCAATCAAGATTCATGTAGAAAGAAATACATACGAGTATTTCGTATAAATAAATAAAATTAAAAGGTAAGATATTAAAGAAAATACTTCCATGGGAACATCCAAGATTAGTATTTAAAACTTCAGTAAAATTTAATACTAAAAATAAATAAATTTACAAAAGAAATATAGCTTTTCAGCTATGTCATGAAGTTTTATTGGTTCTTTTCAGAGTATTTTACTTCGAAATTTTTTAACATGTACATTGGTCTGTGGTTCATTAATCTTGCAGGAATTTTCATTTATGTAATACAGAGCTTATGTTGAATTTTAAAGTGATTATAAAATGAATCTTTTCCTCAATAAGTATTCAATATAAAATCCAACTATCTTATAATGTTCATATAATTTTGATTTATTAGATAAGCATACAAAATGTATCAATATTAAAGACGTTAATTTAAATTAGCAATTAATAATATACCAAATAGTTATAAGTCCCATTATACCTTTTATATATTTTTCTTTTTACAGTTGAATATATGCAATACCCTATTATATTCTAGGAGCATTTGAGAATGCATTTTGCTCATATATCATGTAAACAGGAAATTAATGCTAATGATGCAATGTTCTAAATTTTACTAATTGAAAAAACCGTTACTTCGGTTATCCCGAATAGCCAGATTCTTGCAACTGTCGGGAATAGCCAACACCTCACTGAGCCTCGACAGTACCTCCTGTATGTAGGAGGTACTGGCCTCGAGCGATGTCTGGGATAACAAGTGACATGATTTTGTTATAAAAGTCTTCCACTATTAATAGTCATCCTGGCAGAAAGGATTATTTCTTCCATATATAAATATTACATGACCATGCAAGGCCTGTCTGTAACCATATATATGTTATTTGAAAACTTTGTCTTGTGCCCTTGAGAATTGGATCTTCGCAACATAATTTCAATAGTAAGTGGTCGGGAAAGGCCTTACATAAGTGGAGTACATTGAACTGACAACTTGCAGATAATGAAGCAGTAGCCAATACTCCTCTAGTTATTAAGGTATCTCATCAAGGTAACGTCTTTTCGGTATCATATGCTATCCAATTTCTATATAAAATCCCTGCACAGAAGAATCCTTCAAATGCACTCATGTCCGTATTTTTTCTTTCATACACAAAAATATTGATATCCATGAAATATTTAATTGATGTAATCCATTTTATCCAGGGAATGTGTCAAAGACAAGCCTAATTAGTGTTACCCAATCAAAAGTGATCAAACGGTTTCTGATATGCAAATCCAGGCGTTTAGTCATCTTACGAATCAAGCAGAGTGAATATCTGAGGGAATTTCTGCAATAGAATTTGATTTCATTTTAAGAACTCAAAACGATTTGTTGTGGTTCGAAAGTATCATTTGGAAAAATTTGTGAAAAAATGAATCATTGGCTGTTTATAAGCAAGTAGACAATTATGAAAGCAGTGAGATTTGTGAACATTTCAAGACAGTTTCAACGCCATGGAAATAATTTCAGAAGTGTAGAACTGTTGTAAGGTGGTTTGGACATAGTCGCAAATGAATAACAACAGCTTCTCAAGATCGATATCTTGCAATAACTGCCCTCGTAACAGGAAATCTACTACTCAGTAGTTACGTTCAGAGATTGGAACTACCACTGGAGCTGTTATATCACGGCAAATTGTCTAGAGAAGGCTTAAAGAAAAAGAACTTTGACAGAAAGACAACGTTATGTGTTTCACTGTCTTCACAACAAAAGTAGGATTGTTTTACTTAATAGTAAGAACACAAGTAAAGTGAACACTAGTGGTCCCAAGTTCTCTTTATTGATGAGTTGAGATTTACCGTATTTCCTGGCCTTTATTTTATTTCAAAATTTGCCCTAAAAATTAGTCTGCCACTTATGGGTCTAGGGTATTGTTTCGTCCTCTAAAATACAAGCTGATTCAGAGAGAAAAGTATTATTACTAACTATTTTTTTCTCGCATCAGGCATAGAAAATGCTTGTCGTTATTACAAATATAGATGAAAATATTGTTTTGAGCCAGCAGGAAGCAACAGAGTTTTAATATTTCCTTGAAAGTACTTCCTAGAAAATTCTCAAATAAATCTTAAATGTATACAATGTAATCTACATGCACGTGTGCTAATGTACCGTTATGCAGTTTAATTTCATCTGACATGTTAAACCATGAGCCGTGTCACTAAAAGTAGCTTAGAAAATAACTTTTGTAGCACGTATTTAGGAGTAATGTAGAACTGTTTGCAGATGCCTTATTTTTATAAAATTGATAAAATTATGAAACTTTCTGGTTTAGCACATTAAATGTAAAGTAATAAAAACAAATAACACAAATTCTTATTAGAAATCACGCTGCACCGATAACAAGATGTATCACGAACCACAGCAACATGTCACGTGAGCGGTATAGAAGCAATTTCGTTTTCAAAGCCATCTAACGTTTTCTACCTTTTCACGCTATCATTCATCTTATCCGAACTTACATTTGAAAAAGGTAAATATAAAGACAATGCTCTTACTTTTCCCCCTTTGTTTTACGTGTTACGATATTATGTATTGTAGAGGCATTAGATTTTTCGAAGCAGGAAAGATAAAAAATTAGCATTGCCCTCGCCGGGATCGACCCACGGACCTCTCGAATTTGCGTCGAGCGTGCTGACCACTACACTACGAAGGCATGCTAAGAATGCGAGGGAATAACCTTATATACTCCCACTTTTAAAGGCGACTGGGGCTTTAGGGGACCCAATCTCCAAATCCTGGTGGTGAAGAATCATCATTCACCACCTTTTAGTTAGGACGCCACTGTAAAGACATGAGGATTTTTTTGGAAGCAGGAGATGTGAAAAATGAGCAACGCCTTCGCCGGAACTCGAAACACGGGCCTCTCGAATACGCGCCGACCATGCTGACCACTAAACTACGAAGGCATGCTTCTTAGCATGTCCCGCCTTTCTCCCGCCTAAGAAGGCAGGAGAAATACCTTATAGTATCATTCCATCGAAATTCATAAAATTATAATTCACAGTTTCTGAGAGATCCATGATTTCATACATGCAAAAATAATTTTGGATATGAGTGTTCATTACTCGTTTAGTGGCAGTTTCAGGAAGTCACTGAATGCTATATGTTTTAGAATCATATAAGAAGTGTTAAGTGCATTTGGAGAATTATCTGAAAAAAAAAAAAAAAAAGAAAGAAAGAAAGAAAGAAAGAAAATAAGCCTAGACTGTTGCGTTCAAGTAATGCATGGTAGTGATTACGAAAAATTATTATAACGATTAATTTTAAATAATAAAATATACAGTAATCACGAATAAATTGTTGTTAAGTTAACCAAATGGCAGAATATGGAAATGTATCGAAAGCATTCTACAATTTTAGAATTTAGGTTATCTCGTAACCAATATTACAAAGTTTGTGAGGTTTTATGTAACGTCTTAGTGCCATAAAACTCGTTTAGAAACTATCGATATAGTAGATCTTCATATTGCAGATAAATATGGTCGAAAATTTATGGCATTTATTCCATTCAAAAAACATTTTGTCGATCTTGTAGAAATATAATGCCATCTTAAAGATTCTCTAGATATATATTTTTGCGCAAAAACAATCTTGTATTGGAGGTATTAAAACAAAACATTTTGTGATGTTACTCTCGCCCTTTTACTTTGGATTTAAAAACGAGGAGGAATGAATCATATACCAGCGATATAAATTAATTGCCGATTGTTATCTTAGTTAATACTTTATACAAGGAGTTAGTAAAAGAAAGGCAAACTAATCTTGAATAATTACAGTAATTTATATTAGCGGGAGTTTAAGATTTTTCGTCAAAATTTTTTTCTCCTAATATCTGCTATTCTCTATTCTGTTACCTTTCACGATTAATTTTTCGAGGTATTTTAGGTGCTTGTTGCAAAAAGCGTGAGGCATTTCGTTAGGGTAATACAACATTACTTTAGTATTATAGCTCTTGAATGTCGCAATTTCAGCTCTTAAAAAAACATCTTCCCCCCCCCTTCCTTAAAAATCTTTTGAAGGTTTTATTAGAAAAATACGTAAATAAATTGTAGAATGAAAACACTAAAACAATGAATTAAATGCTAGAGCTTAATTTTCAACAATTTTGATTTAAATACATATGAAGTTCATTCACTTTATCTGCCCAAGTTAAAAAAAGTAATGTGTTTGAAATATTATTTTGAAAAAAAGTTGCATATTATGTTTAAAAAATGTAAGTGGTTGATCAGTTCCTGAGTAATTAAAACTGCATAACTTTGGTAATTTGCTGCAGGTTCTGTTCCTTGTGGACTGGCTACGCAAGAATTTTGTGTTTTTCTGCATATGCAAGAGGTACATATAAAAAAGTTTCATGGTTTGTCACTTTATAATATAAATATGATCAATTTCCCTTACAAAAGTCAAAGCGGATTAAACCGCTGAACATTGATAGCACGTCCAAACGCTATTGCCGATAAATGCATTGGTTGGGCAAGCAACGTTATAAATGTGAAAAGCCAGGGAAATTAACCACGCAGTTACCCCGTTAGCTGAGTCCAACTCTCAGTATACAGTGATCCTAGGAAACACCAATAATTTGCTATCAGTCATTTTACAACATTTTTGCTCGCTGATATTAGAAATTTCTGTTGTTTCAGGTAATATTAAAAAGAGTATAATACTAAATACCACATGATTTTATGATAAATTTAAATAATAATTCGTAGCTAATGTATATAACTGCACTAAAAAAATTGCCTTAAAATTGAAATTATTCAGCTGTAAGGAAAATTCTCTAACCATATCATGGATAATTTGACGAGGGCGGCTCTTTGTCAGAACGGATTTGCCTAAAATAACACTTAAGAATCTGTTTAAAACTACACATGCTTTACTACACATAAAAATTATGCTTTCCATACCGTCGAGTTACGATTGATGTCTGTTATAACGATCCCTTGCGTCCTAAAGAAAAAGCATTATTATCAGAGATTGCTGTAAAGGAAGTGTATTTAACGTGCTCTTATCAGCTGGGGGCTTCAGTAGTTGTTATGGAATGGTCACTATGTAAGGATAATTTTATTTTTAGAACTGATTATTTTATGTTAATTCCCTTTCTGATCATGCCTCGTTTCATTTACCTGCTAGAATGCAACGCCCGCGATACTCAAATTTGGTAGAAAGAAGGAAATATTTAAAGGAAAGTTTGAGGGTGAAATCATAGCGTATTCTGCCAATTTGAAGGCCACGTTGCTAACTTTGATTTTCTAGCGATTAGAATTCTGCGGCATTGAGTTATTCTTGCTAGTAGGCTTGTTTACTCCAACTTCGATCAAAGCCAACTTGCGAGCTAGTTAAACTGTGAAGCCGTTAGGCTAGACTTAATTGTTATTAACTTAAGTTTATCCAGTAATCCATTATTTATAAACACCAGTTGGTGCCGTCTGTTAAACTTTATTTGGGTTAATAAAAAGGTCCTTTACACCCTTTTCCTTTCTCTGTGGTACTTACAAGACATAGTGATAATTCGCCACTTGTCTTTCAGAGTTTTGCTCTAGTGCTCCCTAAGAAGATCGAACTCTATAAATATAATGAGCATCATCCGCATTTATTATTGTAATCGTATAATATTTAGGCTGTTAAATAAATCCTTCAAGAAAGTTAATTTTTTTCTTTTCTTGTTTTTTTTTAATTGAAAATTCAAAGTTTTGAATTTATTTTGCATTTACACATAACGCTTCTGTGCATTTTATAATCACCAGTTAATAATAATGCAAAAATTTTTAAAATGCTCTTTAAGTAAATAGGTAGCTAAAAATTTTAAAATATCTCTCTAGTTTTGGATTAAGCTGCCATTGATCTAAACGAAATTCATTCTATTTTCTCTTTTATTGTAAGTAATTATGTACCCACGTGACAAATGATATCATTAATACATAAAAGTTTATACAGAGAGGTTGTAAAAATATTCAAATGTAGAGAGCATGAAAGAATATTATGGGTGTTCGGAAGTTTTTTTTTTTTTTTTTAATCTTCTAAAGTTTTTTTTTCTTCTTTTTGTTTTTTGTTTTTCGTATCTTTTCCGTTACTCCCCATTATATTCACAATATAACACTGCATACAGTTTTTTTTTCAACTTGTATTTTTCATGTCTCGAAAGCGCGACTTAGCGACGATATATATTAGATTTATATATAGTATTGTTCTAATACAGGTATTTTGACACAAAATCGACTTTTTCGGGAAAGACATGCTACTTTTTTTTTCATATTTCGTTTGTACGACTCAAATTATGACAAACTGCCAAGTTTTGTAAAAATCGCGCGAGTAGTTTTTAAAAAATTAGCTCTCAAAATTTTAGCTCCTCAGTGTTAATTGAATTTTATATATGTTTATTAATATCTCTTTTTTATTAAAATTATTTGAGTCTTCCTTTCATATTTTGAAATTTAGGCTTAATCCAAACATAATTCGACCATTTTTATGATTTATTTTAAAAATTTGTATTTTTAAATATTTGCTTTTTTTTTAATTTTTCGAAAAACATTTTGAATTATAGCCTCTAAAAGTTTTGCCATCATCTTAATGAAGATGCATGTCTAAGCATACCTGCAAAAAATTAGAGTTTTTTATTCAAAATTTCCTAAGATATATGTGAATTTACATTTCGCGCGTTTTTAAATTTGGAGTATTTATTATAAGGGATAATAACGAAAATGTGGTTTACGCACTTTGCTAAAATTATTTGAAAGTATGAACGATGACTTTTTTTCCGCTCGACAATGAAGAAAAAGGAATGGAAAATAGGTTGCTATAAATGAAGAAGTTCGTCAAGCGAATTATTCTTGGCGCAAACTGAAAGAAATCCACCGAGATAAATTTTCAAATTTCTCACCAAAAATTACAAAATTTAATATCGAGGCATAATTTGGGTCGTAAAATCGAAATATGGAAAAACAATGGTATGTTATTTCAGAAAAAGTACGATTTTGTGTCAAAATATCCTAAGTTGACGTGGAAAACGCAATTTGAATTTCGTCCATGGGCCCAGTAGAACGGGAGATATAGAACTGTATACTTGTTTTTTATTGTCGCAGTATACATTTCTATTTAGGTAGTATGATCTATTTAGATGGTGTGATAGTCTTGGGGTAAAATGTACCAGGACGTAAAGAGAGAAGAGTGTGCCCACTCCATTGCTTTACCCGGTGTAGAGAAATCCGTGCAGAGCAGAGCTCGAAATATGCGTCTAGAAGAGGAAGGACTCGTTATGGGACCGTTTAAGGCATTTTGGCGAAAAGGCTGGACAAATGGTAATTCTTCGGTGTAGGAATGATATTTTGGGTAAGATGTGACTTGAGCGAGGTGACACTTTTAGAGTTTAACCTGGTGTAAATTTACAGATTAAAATGTTAATGCTTTTTATTTTTTTCCCCAGCCAAACGGAATGCGTCCTGGACTAACAAATAAGAATTAATTTAAACATTCAATACAAATGTTTAATGAAATGTTTAATGAAAATAATTTAATGAAATTTAATTTAAACATTCAATACAAATGTTTTCGTAAACAGTTTCTCAGAAAGAACAATGTTGAGACCAAATTAAGATTACCAGATAAGAAATTCAAATTAATGTATTTTTCATTAAAATATATGTGGGAGGGGAAATACTACGCCTGTTGTCTGGCGCTTCTAAACCGCTGAATCTCCATTCGATCCAGGCAGATGGAAAGTTAAAAGGAAGAAGACGTCTTCCTGAGATAACCTGCACCGATACTACAGACTTTCAGTAATCAATCATAGCGGGATTTTCAAACTTAATGCGGGAAACAGACGCTCCCGAATTTTTTTGACTTTTCAAATGGTGGTTAACAAGAACTGAACTGTTAATTGTCCTTTTAATTACTTAACATGTCTTTTTTGGGGGGGGGAACTGTACATACATGTCTTACCATGAAAGGTGGTGTTAATTTACCGAATCTTTGAACATACATATTATATATATGTCCTTAAAAAGTAATTCAAGTTATTGAAAATGCTGTAAATATTCAGGAAAAATAACAAGGTACCAGTAATCATGTTTACAGTAATCCTGTTTTAGAAATGAAAATAAAAGCATGAAATCAGAAAAATGAGGGCATCACACTAATCGGGTCTCATTAAATCCTAAATAATGTCTTACAGATACAAATCCATGCGATAAGAAAAGTAAAATGGAATGATTAAATGAAATTTGTTTAACATGCTGCAAATTTTGATACCCATTTCATAAATTATTATAATTTGACTATGCATATAGTAATACATAAGAACTGCAACAATTAATTTTACTGTTTCACTTTACCGATAGGCACTACTATTCGCCATCAGAATTTAAAGGCCGTTGTTATAATAATCCGAATTTCTTTTATGATTACTTTGTAGAGATTATAACGTTTCTCGGACCTTAGAAGCGTAAAATCATTTATGCTTTGGCCAAGAACTGGGCCATAGTTCGTCCAGCTCTAAACTGAATATCCTAACTTCTATATTACAAGGACATGCCCTGAAAGAATGTCACGACTTAACTTAGCAAGTTAATGTTTTCTATTAATTTATGAGATTTTATCTGATCTGGAACTTCTCTTCAGACGTGAAGAGAATTTTCTTTATGTCTAAAGTAACTCCAAGCCATGGAAAAGTTTTAATAAACTTTTTTATGAAACAGAAATTAGAACATAAATGCACTTTTATGTGCTAACAAAACCACCCACAGCTCGTGTGATGCATCTGAAGGAACAGTCAGTTTAAAGTGAAGACGTGAAATAGTAGTCAGGGACTACACAATTTAAACCTAATCTAAACTTGCTCAGTAATTATAATCAGAGAGTCAAAACTAATTTGTCGGCAGCAGCTATCAAACTGGCAAGAACAAAACGTAGAGTGCTCGCGCAGGTCAGAAACAGTCTCCATCTTAAAATCCTCAATCCTCAGTTTAAATACTGGCTACATTTATTTGCATTCTGATGAATAAACGGAAAGAAGAAATTATAGTAAAGGCTGGAATTACAAATAAGTGGTTACTTTAAACAATAAAGCTTAGAAATTTAATGTTAAATTAAGATATTAGAGCAACTTTGATAATTCAAATAAATAGAGATTTTCCAAACTTACCTTTTCGAGCTCTGACCTGTCTCAGAACAGGGTATCCAATCTTAAAATTGTTCCTGTCGTCCAACAATAATCGAAGTCCTAAAGGCTTTCGTCCATTGTACCACAATCCAGCGAAAAGCTCTGGCAAAAGAGCATTTCGAGTCCAGTTCCAAAATTTCACTTCAGTTGTAACCTATGTTAAAAGATACTTCTATGATCAACTACAAATATGACATATTTATCAACAAATTTTTAAATTGCACTTTACGCTGTAATTAATAAAACCATAAGCAACTATTTTTGCTTTGTTTTGTGATATAAAAATTTTGAGTAATGAAAATCGTTCCATAAATAAAAATTATTAGTCACGGAGCATGTTTCTTAAATTCAAAAATATCACATCATAATACACAGTTACAACAGAATTTTCAGTAGTCGTAGTGTAAGGTATTTTTTCTTTCCTTCCAGTATGCCTTCGTAGCGTAACGGTAGCACACTCGGCACCTATTCGACAGGTCTAGGTTCGAGTACCGGCGAGGGCATCATTCCTTTTCATGTCTCCTGCTTCAGAATAACCTAGTGACTCTGCAACACATTTTACGTATTAAAAACCATGTAGCTATCGATGCTATAGGATTATGTTTACAGAACTATAAAGAAAACGCTTCATTAAAAATTGCAGTATATCTTGTGTTAATAATCCTCCTTGTAAGCATTAAATTTATAAAGGTGTTCTATAGTATTTTACTTCACATATAATTAAGGAATAGTTTGTCGATCAACCATTTAATTTTCAGAATGGCAATGCTTTTTATTGCAAAGATATCAAAATGTTAAATTTTTGATTAAGAGATCATAAACATCAGTTTGGATATCAATCTCATAAGTGCAATAAAAGGCGATATTTGTTAACGAACTGGAGGTTAAAGAGATGCCTTTGACCAGAGGGATGTAAAATGCAGATATTACATTTAGTGTAACTGTATCTAATGAATGAGATGCAGAAACTATACATATGAATGTGTATATATGAATATATATCCCTCTCCCCCCTTTTCAAAATGTAGTCCCGTGATAGTTGCACCGTAGCATTACTTTATAGGCATTTAAAGTTCATGGGAAAATCAAGTCAAGTGTACGAATTCTGTAACAGTTGAATTCGACTATTATTGGATGATAGCTCCTTGATATGTCTCAAATCAGTGGTGTTCTTACTGCACAATATGTCAAAGATGCAGGCCGTCCATACGGGATAGTGGTTCGTGATGCTGACTGCTGATGTATCAACAACTGGTTTGAAGAAATGAAGATCAACATCAATCCTAACAAAAGCTGCACAGTGGTTTTTCGTCGATATAAAAGCAATCAATGCATTCAACCTATCTACATTTAGTCAATTTACTCCTAATGATACTCAAGTCGAGATTCTCCAGTAAGTCCTTACCCAAGTAATTAGAGGGTCATCTAGGACAAAACTTAACTTCAAACCCAATATTCCTTTCGACAAAGCATATGCAATTCTGATGAGTATTTATTTCACTATTGGTCGTCGCTTGAATATATACGTAATATATTCTGTAAATATTGGGATTATTAGAAGATAGATGTGCAATTACATAAGATGACGTCCACAGACAGACCTGTCTGAAGACAATAAGACACAATCTTTTTCTAAACACTAAATTCTCGATACCTTTTTCATTCACACATCATCATGGGCTTCGATGTGCACCTCACAAGTTTGGGACAGCTTATCACATCTTTAGCCAATGGAGAACACAGGGATGTATGGCACGTGCTGGCACAGCAAAAGGAAAACGGGAAAGTAAGTGTGTATTTTAGCAACAGCGAAATATACAGAATCGGTTCTTTATTGAAATTTTGAACAAGTTCGGTGCTGAAGCTAACAGACTTTTATATCTTCAAACAATGAAGCCCATCTTGATGCATGCCTTCCCTGTTTCAGCAACGGCAGCCAAGTCGAAAAGAAAATTTTTACAAACTCTCCGAAACAAAACGTTAAAAATCATTCTTAAGATTCCTCGATTTGTGCATAACGCGACCATTCATCGAGATTTGAAAGTCCTTTAATATGATATTCTAACTTCGATGCACAACTTGGTACTGAGGCAACAAGAATAGAAATTGAGACAGTAATCCTTCTCAAATAATCAGTTGCCTTGGAGAACTCTGGCTTTCTAACTGAACAGCCATTCAAGCATTCAAGGACAGCACAGAACAATATTAAGCGGTAACATTTTTTTTCCTTCTTAGTAATACGTTTATCTCATAAATCTCACTACCTCACAGGACTAGCTAAATGATATGCAAGCATGTCTCACCTTAGACTCATACTTACACATCAGGGCTGATCTCCAAACTTCGGATGGTAGCTTACGTTTTGTGGAAGAACTATGCGAAATGACATCATTCGGTACAGCTTAATTCGTAGAATACAGTACTGTAATTCAAAGTGAAATAAAAAGCGTCTTTCAACATTGGGCCGATCATGCATTTTTGAGCAAACGATTGTAGAGGTTAAGTTTCTAACAGTTATTTTAATTTTAAAACATACTTTACTGTTTATTCTCGTTTTCTACCTACTATTCCTTACCAGAATAAGTTTTTAGTATCGCGTTACATATAAATGAGGTAGAAAGAGTATTTAAATGAAAGTTTCGCTTACTTTAGAAGAGCTTAGGAGTCCTTAGTGGCGGCGTGTTTGTCGTCAGGTTATTTTGTTGTTTAAGCTAACTATGCTCGACCGTATTGTACGTGTCTGCTGATATTATCCGGTTAATTTAATTAAGGGCCAACTACGTTAGATAATTTTGTACAGCTTCCGTTAAGTTCAGTTTAGTTTAGTATTAGTTTAGTTTATTTAGTTTCTTATTTTCTTATTTTGATTTAAAGCCCAAGGGGAGGCTTTTCTGTAAGCAGAAGAAAAGGATCATCCGTGTTCTTAGTTTGAGATAATAAAGGGTGAGTTTAACCCTTTTCTGGACTTTTCATTTACACATTTAGACTCAGCGATAAGTCGCTAAGATTTCTATTAAGCATATACAAAGTATTTAGAAACATTAGACAATGTTTGAGAGAAGCAGCTCGAGTTTCTTTCATTAGGAACAGATCTCATTGTTCTTCGTTAACAACATAGACGGGTGTTTTTAGATACAGTAATCCCCGAATTAACTAAGTAATGCCTTTAGTAAATCCTTATTTAAGTCAAATTTGTAAATTGCTTAATGCATCGTAGCCGGACCTCCCAGCTCATTCAAAGATGAGGCGATTCGTTTTTAGAAGACGCGTATTTACTAGAATATTTAAGGTATTACAGTTTCAAAGTTTAATATAGACAATTCACATGTTAACGCGGGAAATTTTAGGAGTTTGTCTCAAAAACCAATTTGATTTAACCACATTAGGTTATTCAAAACTCTAACAGTGCAGAATAGTCACCAAAAAGCATACAGAACATGCGGTTTTTTTAAAGGGTCTTACGAACTTTTTCTTATTTGGCATCTATAACGTCTTGCTCACAGGTTGTATTAGTTTTCTATGTACCATTCCAATTTTAGTATAAGTACTGGAATTAATGGTATTGAAAAATATTTTATTTTTTATATTTCCTACTCACTTATTAATAAATTTCGGATTTATGTAAGTCAACCTTAATTTTTGGCTTTTTTCAGAACCCTTCTTTAATGCACGTATATTCTATGAATATAAATGTAGCTGAACAAAGCAGACACGTAAAAGCACTATGAGTTACTTCTTAACGCCGCCTTAGACAAGAACGCAAACTGCGAGTTCAAAATCAGCGTGTTAAGAGATATTGTTTCTTGCTAGCTACGCCCGGATATGCTTCAGCTTGGCAGTTCGCCCTTACGTCTGATTTGTTAGAAGGATGGAGTTGTAAGTTGGAGGCAATGGTTTGCTAATCTTCAGTTCTAGATTCCGATGAAAATGTTATTTTATCCCTAGATAACTTTTCATTTAATTTTCACAGAAGCAAGAAAGCGGTTTAATTCCAATATGTCTCTCTGAAGTAGCCATGTTGGAATTGGCGTTTGCAATTTTTCTTTTGTAACATACAGATTAATAATGTTGTGTAAACATTTTATTTTGGTTCTAAACTTTGAGTATTACTAACTTTATTTTGTTACTAATTTTTGAGTATTATTGACTTTATTTTGTTACTATACTTGAAACATTATTGAGTAAATTTTGAGTATTGTAAATTTAACATAAATTAAGGGAGGGCAGAAATTAGTTTAAAACTTTTAACCAACCTAAACTGTGTTCTGACTTTGGTAAGAGCAAATACGAGTTTTAAATAAAAGTTAAATCTTACAACTCGGTTCATTGATTACTCTGTTAGAAAGCAGATATTCGAACATGGTCTTCGATTCTCTGAAAAATCAGACCGAGCTCTTCTAACACGATCCATCCTCTCTGTCACAAAATGCGTAAGAGTAGTTTCTTGACAACATGGTGGCGGATTTAGATTGTGTCATCTCAGAGCCTTGATCTTAAACTTCAGAATCTTGGTTTTAGTACAAAATAATGTTGCGCGATATACTGCTGCAGAGGATAAAAACGGAACATGGTCTGTGTTCGCATTCTCTGACAACAGCTTGGCAGGTGTGGCTAGGAATCCCATTCGACTTATTGGCGATTGATTGATAATCTGAATTGATTCTGTTATCATAACATTTTTTAAAAAGTGGTTAGTTTGATGAATCAGAACAATACAATTTTCCCTGAAACGTTATAATATATTCGAATATTTTAATAGCATGGTGTTAGTTGCATGTAGAATGAAATAGTGCAAACTGTTTTATAGGTGAATCAGCCTAGTTTAATGCAGAAGATACATTGTTTTTTTTCCTTTAATATTTATACACCTTCTTTGGCAGTTATTAATAGAAAACTATTGCTTAGATATTGCTGAATTCTACGTTTCTTCATCATTATTGAATATTTTTCAAACTCTAGCAGGAATAGTACATATTTTTTGTTAAATTTCAAGTGGTAAAATGATGGAAAATTATTGATGCTGTTAAACTAATAAATAGATTTTTTATAAAAGCTTTACCAACGAGATTTTAAGGAATTATGATAATGAATGAAAATATGTTTTTAATCATGTACAATAACTTATATTTACCATTGCTTAAATGATACATTAACCTTCAGCAGAGTACTAATCGCAAAAATAGAAAAATGAAATTGATTTATTTATTACTGTTATTGTACTAATTCTATCATGACATTTTAAAGAGCCATTGTTATCATACATACGACAAAACTACAGTCCATCATGAAAAGAAAGTAAAACGTATTGCTACATAAATTCCAATGAATTATCAAATTATAGTGTGAAAGTATGAAATTCCTGAAAATGGAAAGAAATTTTGTATGAGTAAGAAAGCACAGTTATTAGAAACTAAAGTAATATACATATATTACAATAATATATATATATATATATATATATATATATATTACAATTATAATATACAATATATATGTATTACAATATATTATCATATACATATATTGCATTAATATACATATATTAGAAAAATTCTTTCGAGACAGAAGAGTATAATTACAAAAGAGAACTCACTTCGTTAAAATCATGCCATAAATCTCCAGGCTTGATAAAATTATTAATAACAGTTTCTCTAAGATAGAAACTATTAGGGTCTCTATTACCATAGCTGAGAATCATCAAAATCCACAAATATAAGGCATAAGCTGTAATCTCTTTCAATAATTTATGCATCCGAATCTCTTTTTCGCGTATTTTCCGGGCTGCTTCTAGAGCTTGAAGATCAATTGGCCTGTATTTGGGTCTCTGGACAGATATTCCTGGGTCTTTAAAAGAAACAAACATGTTAATACTTTTGTGGTTACGTACGAAACGATATTTCTAAAAAACCCATCCCTCTTCACAAAATTATTTCGTTGATTTCAAATGAGAGAAGAAAGTGAAATGCACTGAGAGTCATACTGATAATTTTATGCAAAACAGTAATTTAATATATTACTGCATTATTTATATCTTATAACCCAGGTTTATTCAATGGCCGATGCCTCGTAGGTCTAACCACAACTGTATGCTTATTGTCATCTGAAAAATTTTTAAAAATCTAATATTGCTAAACCAAAAATCTTAAAAAAATATGGAAAAATCATGAAATAAGATACTTTAGGTTGGTGTGATAATGAAATATTAATAATAAATTCTTACATATATCATAATAATTTTATCTGTTAATGCTGTCTTCTCACATAATTTGAATGAAAAATGCAGCGGTCTTTAAATCGCAAATTCCGCGAAAAAAATTTCAATGCTTGCTTTCACAATAAAGCTGTTTTTCGTAGCTTCAAGTCATAAAAAATTATTAGAGAGTTTAGAACTGTGCGATTTTAGAAACTTATATTTGTAAATAATTAGGTAACTAAGGATTTTACATACATATGTAATATTATACACTCCTTATTATGTTGCTGTATATTATAAAATATCTGACTAATTTTTCAAAAGAACTATTTACAGACACTCCCCAATTTATTGTGGAATTTCGCTTTCATTTATTTCTGTTGGAAGCCTGTGGACCACTGTTTCAATCGGCATTTCCAATCTCTTCTGGAAACTTTTAAATTGAAATTCAGTGTTTGAAAGAGATGCTACGATTTTTCGACGCACAGTATTCCAAATTAAGTTCAATCTGATGTTCTCCTTTATAAAATCAAGTTCAAATTCAGTAGCATTATTACTCATAACTAGCGTCTTTACTTCTTTCCATGTAATTTCTGATCTGAGGCAGTCTTTCTTTCGCAGCTCGATGAGGGTTACACGATGTCGGTGTTATCCTCAGTCAGCACAGCAAAGAAGTAATTTTGCATACCTAATTTTAGATTTTTGTTCATGGCATTCCACCATTTTCATCGGCCTATATTAACTTAACTCCAGTTTCAAAAGACAATTCTCACTTGCTTGGTGCAAATTTTTAGCGAAGTAATGATCCACTCCTGAAGTCTTCAACAGTAATTCTGAAACATCACTAAAAAGGCAAGGTTAGGATACTTGAATGTGGCAAAGCACACAAATGCTATCTGCTTAAGGGGAAGGATGCCTTCGTTGAGGTCTTTTTAAGAGAAATTCGCTCATATCCACGTTACACACAAAGAAAACCCTGAAAAACCAACAATGTTGCCAGCTCGTACTCCAAGATATGAATCTGGACTAAACTATCGTCATTCAGCACTCTTAACCATTCGGTTACTGGGTGTAAGACTTATCTCTATTATTCCACATAAACTAAATTAGATCCTACAATGAACCTGGCGAATTCTCGCACAGGCGTGAATAAATTACCAGCACAGAAGAAGGGTAAAAAATAACCCTTTATTAATTCAAACTAATTTAACAGAAAGGCCCAGACTCCGTGCGTTACAAAACCCCTGACTACTTGCGATGGGAACTAAACGTAGAATATAATACAAGTCAAACCTGAAATAAATAATGCAAGAGCGCACTTAAATTTACGCCTAAGAGGTGGACTCACAAAAATCTAACCTGCGTGGTACTAATCTGATAAGGCCAAGAGGCTTACTAGCGTGACCGCGAAATAACAACGAAACGTGCGCTTGGCTAGCGAAACACGCTCTGAATAAGCTTAGATATTCACACGTTTAAATAGCACTTCACTTAACTTTAAATTTACATCCTGGTGAGAGAATGTGAGGGGAAGTTGAGAAGTTTAGAACAGGAAATCAAACTTAAATTGGTTATGCAAAATAAGGAAAATCCTACATGGTTTCATCTCGCAGAGAAGAACAAGCTTCTTGACTGCTGGATAAAAAATACCGACTTTTGAGAATACAAGTTAAGTAAACGCTATTTAAATTTATCTTAATTTGCATTCTAGCGAAGACCAACGGAGAAATAGAAAGGATAAAAAAATAATTAACATAAAATAACTGGTTATTTTAAGTAAAATTTTACAAATTCACTTCGTTCCTTACTAATATATTGATATTTTATATTTTTAAGTTTTTCATATCTCATGAAATATTTTATGTATTTGTTGCTCCTTGCTATTGACAAGTAAATTATTCTACCAGCACCATTTTTAAAATTTTTTATGAGTAAGTTAAAATCAGTAAATATTGCATTTTAACATTCTTACCAATGTGTCATTCATTTTACTCCAATTAATATATTTTTTCCATATTGTGTGTACAGAAATTTGGTTTTCTAACTCATTTACTTTATGCTGTAATGGCTGTTGCGGGCTCCAAAAAAATTAGCTATGCGAATTACCATAAAAAATAAGGTGTTAACGTTTAATCTCTGAGATGAAGTATCACGACAAGAATATCTAACCATCAAAACAAACAAACACAGAATTAAAATACTTCAAGATTATTCTATCTCACCACTTATGAGTGTTTAAATTAAAATATAAAAACAAAAATTTATTATCCAACTTGAAACTCAAAGCTTCCTTTCACAATGGGCATAAATTCAGCAAATTAAATCTAATTTGACGAGAGACTACGAGCTTGACTTGACCGTGACAGAATTTGAAACACACCTTTACCGAAACAGGGTCTAATCTCAATCTACGTTATTCGCCAGCATTTAGAGTCACCAGCTAGACCAGAATTAGCATCACCAAAAGAATTTATTACAACCAACAAGGCAGCGGACACCAGGCTAAATTTCCCCACTTCTGTTCGTAAGATTCTAAACTTTATAGTAAAACTGTTTGCCATTCAAATCTATATAAATTCTGGAATGAACGAACTCTTGGCGAAACGGAAAGAAGAAAAGTAAAAGGAACAACATTCTGTAAGTAAAACTTAAAGCATAAATGCCACAAAGTTATTCAATATTTCTATGGCTTCACCTAAATTCGTTCAAATGCTAAAAGTTTGAATATGTGATATTTAAGATGTTACATTTGCTCTGTCATTAAAAAAAAATAAGAGAAAATAAGTTCCAGCATTCTTCTTCCCGTTCTGTGACCAGCTACTTTGTCTTCCGTTCTTTCAGCTTGTAATTAGAAAGCGGGAGTTAATGAGTTAGCAATGGCATTTTATTATCTTGTTATTTGAACTCTTGACAGAGTTTTATTTGTATATGATAAAGTAAGGTAGCTTTTTAATTTTAATTTAAATTTAATTAATTTTCCTTTCTTATTTTCTGTGAATGACGATGAATAAAAATTCGTAAGTTTCAGTTTGCAGCCTCCAAGACAGTAGCGATCAATAAAAAATGTGATTATTTATTTAATAACTCATGTAACTTAACACAAGTTAGAGAAAATTAAAAGCATGGCTGGAATCTTCAGTGCGAGAGTACTAGTTTTTTAAGGTGAATTTATAGCTAAGCTCTACATACACATAGTGCAGTTAACTACATAGAAGAATCCCTTTAAATCTGTTTGAACAAACATTGGCAATCGCTCTTGATAAGAGATTCAAACTGTTTAGATGGATAAAAATTCTTAATGGCATTCGTATAATAAAAATTAAGGTTTATACTTTCAAGTGTCATTAAAATTCATGTCAATTAACTAATTTATTAAATTAAGTTACGTGTTCTATAAGATCAGTATAATAACGCTTGCTTAAAGCTACTCACTAACATCATGTAGCCATTCTTCGTCTTTTTTTAAATATGGATCTTCTTCATCATCATCTGCATCATCATCGTCAACATCGGGATTACCACACAAGCAAGCCATCAACACAGCGAGGCAAAATATCTATAAAAATTGAATAAATGATGATAAATGTGGAATTTAAACTGTATTCGTTGAGTAATAATCATCACTCAAAATTTAGATTATATACTGCTAGCCATCAAAATTGCTACACTATGAATTATTTATAAATTAGCAGAATTATTTACAAATACATTATAACGAAAGACCAAAATAATTAAAATTTCGAGTAACATTGAAGTGCAGAACAAGCAGAAATTAATATCCCAAGCACCAGCCACTGGAAATAATAGCAAATGTTATATGACAAAGAGCTGAACAGATTTTGGATGATAGTTACGGGTATTGGACCATCGAGGATCTTCGGTCCACGAGGATTGGATTCTATGCCAGAGTTCATCTGTTGGATGACATAACGTTGGCTGACCGAATGCTGTAGTGCTAGTCTTTCTTCTAACATTGATCAGACGGTCAATGCAGAACTATTGTTTGCTAGAGGGCTTCAGTTGACAAAAGATCTAGGGAACGCGCTGGCCTAAGCAGAAGTCGTGCACCTGTGTATTGGAAAAACTTAATGTATCCCTGTGTATTGGAAAAACTTAATGTATCCCTGTGTATTGGAAAAACTTAATGTAATTTAGTATGGGCAACATACAGTCTTGGGTTATTCTGTTGAAAATAAGATCGACGGATACCTTGATATTGCACAGTAATGGGATATAAGAGTAGCTGGCCAATTAACCGGATATACGGATTACAAAAGAATGAGATGGGTATTCAATAGCACCCCATGCCATCAACACAGATGCTGGGCCGGTAATGATGATGAAAAATGCAAATTTCCAGTGTTCGTTCACCTCGGTGCATCCAGGGATATATGGGTATCATGATGCAATAAGCGAAAGCCAAAATTGTCAGAAAAGAAGAAATTGTCGATTGCTGAGTTTATGTGAGTCATTGAACGCGTCATCGTATCGGCAGTGCGGACGCATCCAGGTGAGTGTCATTTGAGATATGTAGTAGGGATCAACAAGCCCTTCTGAGTCCGATCACCACGCTTCTAGCAAAATCGTATCTCTGTTGAAACTTCCTCCATTGACGACGGCCTGGCATTCTCTGCTGTTACACGATAAGAACAGCACAAGAACAAATTTTCTACGATGATTTGCCTAGCAGAAATAACGGCACGAAAATTGAACATTCTGCGGGTTCCTTCCTTTATGTCTTCTTCAATGTGCGCTGGAGAGCTGCGCATTTCACATAATTCGCATAACTCGGTGATGTGCGTGTACCCTGAAATTTGTATAATTTTTGGGCCACTACTTGGTGTTGCATTTTCAATGTCGGGTATTGTGTTAATTGTGTATTTGATTTTAAAGTTTCAGTTTAGAAAATTCAAGGATAAATCTCAAACTGAAGACTGACATATGTAAATTTGAATGTACAAACGGGACTTCTATCAACCGAGGTCTCCTTTAACCGAGTCTGCAATCAGTTTTTAAAGAAATATTTGGTAAAATGTGGTAACATTAAAAAGGATTTGCTAAGATCGGCAAGATTAGTGAATTTCCTTATCGATGAAATGGATAAAAGAATGACAAATGTTGATAAATATGGAAAAGAGCGAATCAAGCTTACAAATTCTCGAGGCACAAAGAAATCATTCGCGACATAGATTCGGAGAACAATAAAAATTGCAACGATGTTGAGGGTAGTCATAAAAAGGAAACTACCGATGTAAAATTAGCCAAGCTAAAAGTCTTTTTTGATTTTTTCTGATTATGGAAAAGCTCATACGGGCTATCTACCCAAAGTAAACAATGCCTTCAGGCAGGGTTCTGAGGAAAAGGTTCAGGCAGGTTCAAAAGGAAAACTGGCTCGTTTTTACACTACATAGGGCGAAAAGTATGAAAAACCCCATTCTGACAACTCATTCGCCGGGATTTGAGCCTGGGTCTCAAAAGTAGTGTTCAGCTATTTTAGTGCTTGGCTACTTACCAGTAGTGGGTGCTGATACTTTGAAAAGCTCTTTAATATTTAAGGGAGTATCTTGATGATTTTTTTTTGTGTTTCATACTTCATTTTGTGTTTCATTTATTAATCAACAACTGGCATGATCGTGCGGTAACTAATATATTTATAAAATTATCACAAAAAATAGGGAAATGGTAACAGGCATTTTTAAAAGATAAGTAAATAAAAAACTAATATATCATGAAATGTATGTAAGAAATTTGAAAATAATTCACAGTTTGAGTAAATTTTCATGGAGTTTTTTATTCCATTTCTTTCATAAATATTTTTGTCGTGAAGCAAAATGTTGTATGGATTATTTAATTGAACGAAACAAATTTTATCTAGTAATAAAATGTGTTAAATTGTTAAGAGTAGTACTTAATTTAGAACCTCAAATAAAGAATTTTAAAAATGCTTTTAGAAAACAAAAATTACACGATTTAAAATTTAGATATATTTAACCAAATTTTCGATTATCCGAGGTGATACAAGTCCAAGTTATTCTGGATAATCAAGTTTCTATTATAGTAAAAAACGAAATATCAGTTTTGTAAAATGTTTCTTACGTTAGTGGAATAAGAGAAGAGCATTGATACACGAATCATCGTAAAGCGTTTTGATCAATGCAATTTTTTTTAAAGGAGATCTTCACAAGATTCGTATTCTATTAAATAGTGACAGGCTTCAATTATTGGCTCATAGCCAACTCGTAATATTATTTGCATAAAGTAAAATATAAAAATATTTCTATTTTAGCCACTTATTTTTATATGACTACTTACATTATGATCCTAAAGTAATAAGACCGCATGTGAAAATCGCTAACGTGTTTTTAGCACATGAAAGCTTAAAATAATTACTTGCCTGAAAGTGTCTTCAACATACAAAGTGTAACAAAAACATAAATCAAAGAGTATTGCTTCTTACAGAATCACAGATAAATATCACTGAATGAATTACGTGTAAAAAAGCAACGTCAATTTATCCTATTTAATTTTTTAACCGATCTTCAAGGAGAACAACAAGTTTGAATTTTTCGGTGTAAAATCCATATGAATCCCAAATTTTAAAATCCAATATTATGGTCAATTTTTATCATGCTGTAGACGAACATTTTGGATTTTATTTTTTTAGAATGAGAATAAACGTTTACCAAATATGTATGTAAGAAAAGTAAAGAAGATTAAATTAGCAATGTAAATTTCCCTTCTCTATTCTAAAAATAGTAACTCCTCTCTCCACTGCGTTATTTCGAAAAAAATCTATGTCATATGACTCTTACGTAATTCTGGTGATGCCAATAACTTAACAGCCAATAATAATTTTACAGCAATATTAACCATCCAATCAGAATGCTTCGAGAACCAAAACTAACTCAGTCTGACTTGAGATTTCATCCTGAACATTACGCACTTGCTTTCCACGCTTTGGTCTAGCTACACTGCTTCTTCTTTTTTGCTACAAAGTTATCGAAAATTTGGAACATCCTTTTGGAACAGGCACATTTAATGTGCCGACTTGCATGTAGCTGAAAATAAAACTGAAGATTTAATCTGCATTCGCCTCCAATTTCCTATTCATTGTGGATCATCACTTCTACGCATCAAAATTCCTGTTCCTGGTCCTGAATTTATTACATGTATGTACAGTGATCCTGTATACCATTAGAAGTTAAGATTTCGTAATTTTTATGAAACTGATTTTTAAAATTTAAATTTGCCGAATCATGAATAGTTGTGTCAGTTAAAAATATTTTATAATTGGAAATATATATCTATGACCAACGGTAGCGAAAATAAAAGTCATACCACTTATATGGATACGGTGTATAATTTAAATTTATTTTTCTACTTTTTATAATAGAAGTGGAATCAATGATCTTACTTAAATTATTTTAACTGAATTTTTCAAATGTGTAACTCTTTGCTTACTTTGATAGGCTCAGTAAGTAATATCGAAGAAATGAAACAAATGAGGAGGGACGTCAACCATTTTGTAGTTCTGACATTGCCAAACTGGAGACCATATGCCCACAGAAAAAATATGCTGCATCCGACGGAAGCCACAACCAAAAGCCAGCTAATGTAAATACACCACCAGGGTAGAAGAAATCTTTTTTTCTTCGAAGGGCTTCTTAGTTGTGCCTCCTCATCCACCTTCCTTTGCTGCTTTTTCTGAGATTTCGACGTTTCCTCGGTTTGATTAAGTGTACCATAGTTTTTACGCCATCTTTCATCTGCAATTAGAGGGTTGCTTAGGAACTAAAATTTTACAGATAGCTATTATTTATAATAGTAAATATAAGCATAGGAAAAATTTTCAGTAGGAAGGTAGGATTCTCAATATAGTTTTAATGTTTTACCTTTATGAATTTAGGAACTGGAATAGCAAAAGAGAGTCCTTCCATCGTGGTGGACTTGCGTTTAGAAAGTGCTCTTTTCAAGACTTTACTTTGGTAGGAATACATCTGCAATAACTGTATTGCAGATATATTCCTGCTAAACTATATCTTCAATAGCTGTATTAGGCTTCATTTTTTCCAGGAATGTAGTATGTCTAAGAATTTTTCTAAGTATGTAATTTGTCATAATAAAGTTTCTATTAGCAAGTCGTTGGGATAAAGAAATAGAATTTCTTCTGTAAATATCAGACCTAAAACCTTTCCTCATGATAGTATTGTAAGATTCTATCCTATTTACTTTTACGTTACACTTGAAGTTGAAGAATCTTAAGAAATGATCAGTGAATAATCGCTTGAGTTCGTGAGATAGAGACAACACGTAAGAAGAGTGAAATTACCCTTTATTATACAATAAGGCTTAACAGAACTCCATCTTGGAGTTTTACAATAAAGCCGCCACTCGGGCTCGAACTTAGGAAACTAAGAACTAAAACTTAACTAATCTTAACTAAAAAGATATAGCCAAGCTATCAAGATTCTAACCGAGTGGCCCCTTAAAGCTGAATAACGGGCAAGCTTCAAGGCCTAAAGTATGGCCAAGCGTAATAATAGCTTAAGAGAGAGTAGCCTAAAAAGGCGGACGTGTGATAGCCAGAATCACTGGTTCTCTCTCACAAAGTCAGTAGAACTTCACAATTAAATACTTCTCCTCATTTGCATTAAAACGCGATTCTAAAACTACGTTCTGGGCGGAAGTTGTAAGTTGAAATTCAGGAAGACAGGAAAGGAACTTTAGCTCAAAATTTAACTGTTAAAGAAATTAACATAATCCTTACAGTATGTTGAATTGATTTCAACATTTTTTTCACACTCTTCTTATTTTAATGTCTTCTTATTCTAATTATTCTCATTGTAAGAGAGTCTCGCGACAATCACAAAACTCTTATTGAAACTTTCTTTTCATTGACGGAACTAGGTTTGTATATATTTTCCTTCGTTTTCGATAACAAATATTGGAGTGCGTTGGATAAACCAATGCTTCATAAAAGTTTACAATGATGTTTCCATTTATCACCTGCTAAATAGTTTTCATACAAGGTTAAACAAATTATTATCCGCTGAGCCACATTCCTTGGTAAAAGTTATGATTATTTTTAGCATTTTCTAAGCTGGTTTATCATTTTTAGTTATTGTCAAAACAAATATATTTAATACTTTACCATTGATTTCTACCTCGGCTGATAATCTTTTGTTACTAATGAATTAACATTACAAAAAGTATTTTTTTCGAATACTCGTTTGAGGTCTTCTTTTCTATGTAGAAGTAATGATTGACGGTTTTTTTTCTTTTCGATCAAAAATGTTGCACTTGTAATTCTTAATAACATTTCACAACGTTTTTGAAGTATGGAACAGGAATATTTCGCTTCGTGAAGCGCAAAAACATGTCCTTTAATTCACAGCTAGCTTTCTCATTTCTAATAATAAGCTGTTGCCAGAAATTTTTATTCCAAAACATTTGCGTTTTTAAATTCCTTATTGAAATCGTTCTAAAGATGTGTAAACACCCTCTGTATTTTACGTTATAGTTTATCTAGGAATAAGCAGACAAGATTTTAATTTATTCTCACCATTGCTATTTTGTTTTTGTTATTTTACCATATTTTATGTTTAATTTTCATTATTTGATTATTTTTTCAAGAATTAAAAACTTATAATCTGAAACTCAAATCCTGCTAAAATACATGCGTAAATAGTCTTCAGAGTTTATAACAGTAACAAAATTCTCGGGGGAGTCGGATAGATCGTACAAAGCGGAGCCTTGCATACATTCAAGTATTTTAATACCTGAAGCTGCTCTTAAATTTACAGTTATTTTTAGCTTTATCAAATTAATACTTAATTTGCTATATTTTCATTTTAACTTTTTAATGTAGATTTGTTTCCTTGAGACTGATATTCCATCTTCTTACGATGGCACAATAAAATTGTTCTTTAAAGTAAAAAATTTGTCACGCATTTGGTATTGAGATGAAGTGAAAGATCATTTTTTGATAATTATTCCTTCCAGAGAATGCACCTTCTTGTGTTTTTGTTTAGTGCAAAAAATCGGGAAAAAATATAAAAATTACATATACATGGAGAATAGGGGAGGAAAAAGGGTGCAGATTTAAGTTTTTCGCTTCACGAATACACTCACTTTATCATTTAATTCTGAAACGAAAACCTTAAAATGAAATAATAATAATAATAATAATAATAATAATAATAATAATAATAATAAAATATAGAAGGTTTCAGATTTTAAACTACGTCCTAACGGACGTTTTTTAACGTTTTGTGTGTTACCTTTATTTATTAAATATCATGTTCTTTGCACTTAAACCACAAAATTCAGTTCAAAAGCAATATCTCAAAATAGTTTTAAAATGAGCATATCCTTCAGAATTTCGGATACAGAGACTCGCGTGCTGGAGATAAAAATGTTTTCTCTGTGCAACGTTGCCATGGCTCGCTTTGAAATCCTTGAGTTCGTTAATCAAAAATTCGTTACACTTTTACAAAATATAAAATAGATAATAAAACAAATTCTAAATTCCAAATTTGAGATTTCAGATGCGCATATTCGGGTGGAAACGTACGCTATTCAAAACTGGATGGCTCTAGGTACCGTTGTTTTATCACAATGCGAGAAATTAACATACATTATGCAGATTTTTCATTATTTTAATTTCTTCAAATATAATGCAGGATTCTAACATTTGGTGGCAAGGGTTTAAAAAGTGAAACGGACATTTATAGTGATTCAACGCAAAATCGTAAAACGAAAACAGTAGTCCTTCACGGACAAAGCCCCTTTGGACTAAAAATTTAAAAAATCCTAATTAGTTGCACTTACATTGGTTTTCCAGAGCCACATTGACATGAGATGGTCGAAGCGAGCGAGCTCGGGATTTCCGGAAAAAGAAAACCATTAGGAAACTGGGAGGGAAAATAATCAGATTGGACATAATTCCAACACCGATCTGTAAAACGAAGAGTAAAGCCATTAATATGGTTTAATAGTTTATTTAACATATAAAGCAAGGTGAGCAATAATTAACAGGTAAGTATTTATATAAATAGTTTCGATTTTATAGGGTTTCTTTTTTTATTCTTTCCACAGCTTTAAAAAAGACGTATTCCAAGAAATTACAATAAGAGGCAGATATTCTTCTTTTTACTAGATTCAAACTTTTGACATTAGGGAAAAAGGAAATTCGAGAAAATGATCTATTTAAACTGGCTGATAATTTCTTAAAGAATCTTCAAATACTAGATCCCATAAAGTCAAATTGAACATAACCCTTTCAAACATCAGTTATCTTGGTTAGAATAGGGTATTAAATGAACCTGGATTTTTGAACATGTATTGTAAAAGAAAAAATATTTTTCTATAAAATGATCTCATGTTTGAATTAGATGTATTAAATGTGTACTACAGAATATAATTAACCTAAGCCGTATGTTAAGGTAAAATTGAAAAAATATTTGTAAGATAAAAAATATATTAAATAAAATTCCAATTTTAATTTACAATGGCTCATTAAGTATAAAAAATATATTAAATAAAATTCCAACTTTAATTTACAATGGCTCATTAAGTCTTATACTTAACCTGATTATTTCCTTTTTCTGCCCTAAAATTAGGAAAATGCTTGCAATAAGTCTCTTTAAACTGCATCAGATCAAATTATTCTTTTTATATGATATTTTTATAACGCTTTTGACGGATGTGCTTACATAAGTGGAAAAGGTCTTTTAGTCAATAATTATATCAAATACTGTGAACGCAACCAATTTTACCCAACCAATAAGATTAAAATATAACTATATTATTATTTGTGCTGTAATCTGTACGTTTCTTTTGCTAACTTGCTACTGTATTTCTTTTTCATACTTTAAATGCAGACTTGCGAACGAAATAACACGCAAGTCATAATTACCCCTTAAAATTTTCAGTAGTAAATATAAAACATTAAAAACGCGTATTCGGATGCTTTTGTTCATGAAAAACCAGTTATACGCCAGAAAAAGTCAATATTAGACATTCTGACAAATTCCCTCAAAACAACAGTTTGCAAGATGGTGTATAAAGGCCGGTTGAATGTTGAACAGAAAGTGAAAGTTGTAATGCTTTTTGAAAAAATGAAAAGTTAACCACATAAAGACAGTTTTGCGCCTCTTTTCTGGTTCTTTATTGGAGAAGAATCGACGGAGCTCATCAAACGCCTGCACACCTAGCAACGAGTCTTTCTTTACACACTCAAAGTGGTTATTGAAAGATGCAGCCCACCAACACACTGCAAATGTTGCTCTTTAATTTCTATATGGGATGGTTAATATGATTTTAATGTAACATCGGTCTTCTGATTGTTACGAAGTTGAGAGAGAGTAGTTCCTCAGTATGTTTTCTTATTATGCGGTTATCTGGAAGGTATTGACAAGGAAGCCTGGAAATGTAGCTTAACTGAAGAACCCATATCGCGCACCTGTGTTTTGCAGTTTCAGCAGACGTGTACCTGAGGTTTAGAGAAAATGAAAAAGTTCAGTTGCAAGAGCTTCTGAAACAAAATACTGAACACATTTAAAACATTCTGCCCTAAACTCGTTTGCCGTGGTCAGTCTACGTATTCATTTTGTAATATTTCGATGTGAAATAAACGTGTAATAGACAAAACGAAGAGTATGACATTTCGAGCAATGTAAAACTAAGCTTATGACATTCGTGCAACATGCGCAATCCTGTAAATTATAAAAATATGAAAATTAAAGCTAAAGAATGATTGGTACCTTTCAGTTATGCACTTGCCACGTTTTCTGTCGCCTGTGGCATAGAAGCCAAATTCGCGCCGAGACCCAGTCATAGTGTCATCCGGGCACCAAATCATCTACTTGTATGTGTGTGTTTAGTTTAACACCTTTAAACACCCGTCAAAATGCGTGGTAAGTGCACAATGGAAAAGTACTCAATGGTTATGGAGCAGATGCATATCTTGCGCCGGTTTGGCTGCGTAAGTATGATTTAACCTTTTAACTGTCAAGTTATTTTGATGATTTGGGGTGCATAAATTGTCAATTTTTTTTTTATTCCAATGAAATGTTTGCCTCGCAATCAGAAAATCAAAAAAATGCCGCGCACTTTGAACTTTAATCTCTATGCTTTGAAACCTTCAGTAAAATGCTGCCATCTGTTGAATTGAAGCCGAGATAAACTTCTCACGATATATATTCGGGTATAAAAATACGATGCACTCAGAAAAAAAAATTAGCCCGAGTAATATTCGGGCGTGACATTTTGGAATACCAATGTTGTTCCCAAGATTATTTCGGGCATGACAGTTAAAAGGAAACAGTTTATGAACAGTAAACAAAGGCTCAACTGACTATGACTGCAATTTCATATTTATGTAGCAACTACGTCTTGTCTTACGTCATCTATATCAAAATTTTAATTATATAAAATTTCTTTAAATTTAAGGAATAATGTTACCATAATTTAAACACTAGATGCATGCTTATAAGATGGTGCAATATTCAGAAAATTATAAGATAACTAAATTTCCTTACGTCCGAAAAGTACGTTAATTCTATTGCATCTAAATTTATGTTATTTTAAGAATAATTCGAAGTTATATTTTAAATCTTTTCTTAGACTTCAGCAATTTGAAATTGGTCCTTACTATTTCTTTGTTTTATTTTGTTATTAATGAACTCACAGCTGCAAGAGGAGAAAAGCAACGCATGCAGAAAACGTCGAAATTGAAAAAGCTGCTAACTCTTCTGGAAGCGATCTTACTTAACTATCGACTTTTAAAAATAATACTTCTAATTATTCGAGTTTTATTAATAAAATCCACTTCTAACCTGCTCAGGACTTAGTGACAATGGTCCGAACTTGAAAGCGCCGGGGCTCGGCTGTTCTGGGGTTGTTTGATACCACATTGCTGATGTCAGCATTGATAAATAAAGCAGAGCTAGACAACAAGACAAACGCTGCACTCGCGTAAATCGACTGCGTGCTGGTCTTGTGAAGACGGATAACCAGATATGATTGTCTGTAAGATTCCTTCTGGATGCATTGGAAAAGAGATGAGAAAATTCCGTTGTCTGTTCTTTCCCAGCCACTGGTATTAGATGATCGATCTGTTATAGAAAATGATACTTATTATAATAATGGCAACACTCAGAATCTGTGGTATTTTAACCATACCAACTTTGTAAATAAACATACCAAAAGAACAAAAAAATTAAACAAAAATTTTGACCCTTTTTTACATCTAAGCAGCAATAGTTTTTACAGGTGAAGCTATCCAGAGCGAATCCTTCAAATAATTTCAATTTACATCCCAAATATAAATAGTATAGAAAATATTAAAAAACTAAAAGCATAGGAAAGCGTAACGCACTATAAACGTGAACACTGATCACGTGATTGCGTCCACGTCACACACATTCGACTTTTCTAATACAAGATATGCTTTACAATATGACTGATTTAAAACTTTACACAATGACATAACTTGAATTTTAGTGGGGAGTCTCGAGAGTACGTGGAGTTCCGAGAACGACCAAACAGAGTCGGAAGCTGTAGTCTGGTGCTTTGCAGTGAAGCTGTCTCCACCGTTATTGCCTGATAGTATGAAGGTTGTGTCGCTGAACGGGTAAGCGTGTTTATAACAGTTCGACGGCTAAAGTGATTTTGGACTTTCTGATTAGTATTGGTAAATAAAGTGTGTTTCGATACTTCATCAGTGTTGTCGTTATTCCTCCAACTACGAACCCCGTAGACTGTGTCGAAGAAAAAAAAAAAAAAAAAAAAAAAAAAAATAAAAAAAAAAAAAAAAAAAAAAAAAAAAAAAAAAAAAAAAAAAAAAAAAACAAAAAAAAAAAAAAAAAAAAAAAAAAAAAAAAAAAAAAAAAAAAAAAAAAAAAAAAAAAAAAAAAAAAAAAAAAAAAAAAAAACGTAACAGTATGATAGAGGGACGCATCGCCTCTTAGTAGAAATGCTATTTGATGCAGAAACTTCCTCCCTCCCCCAAATTATTCACGTTTTCGTAACTTAATACTGAAACACACTGTAAACATTTCGAAACATATTAGATGAGTGCACATAATATAAGAGGGGAGATTTAATTTTCAAAATTCATTTCAAAGCTCTTGATATTTTTACCAGAACCTTCAATACACAGAATGCATTTTCATAGCGCGGTTACGCTATATTTAACTGGTTTAAAATATACAGTTTCTTTCTTTTGCATTACTGCATTTCTGGTCTCCACTGCTAGTTTGAATTGAAAAGAATTTCTAGTAAATTCCTTAAATAAAGCTATCTTTAAACAAAGTTATCTTATCTATATAAAGCTTCGATCAAAAAGTATTATAAATATGTTTTCAAGAAATTACAAAATTAAGGTTCTTAATTAAGGTAACATTTCACTTTTAAAGCATACATCTCTGATCCCTGAACAAAATTTGCATTTTATACTAATTTTGGATGCCTATTTGCAACTTCATATGTAAATTGTATGTTTGTTCTTACATTTGTACCACTTGTTGCGCTTTTTGTTTATTTTTTGAGCACGTTATAATACGACTAACAATGATCAGATATTTCTTATGTCTATTAGCAACAGTATTCAGTTACATTGAAACCTAGGTTTACGAATTTAATACGCTCCAGAAGAGAGTTCGTTATCCAAAATAATCATAAGCTGAAACAATTTTTCCCATTGGAATTGAATTATTTCACTCTCAGATCCTCAAAAGATCGCTTAGAAAAGAGTACTTTGTGTATGAATTCGCAATGCAAAATCAATGGAATTCATTACAACTAACACATACACAATACTATTAACATATACATAACATAACATCAAACTAGGCCAGCACCTCTCTAGTTCCATTGATGACTGACATATAGCTGAGGCTAGCTAATGTTAGAAACAACATCCATCAGGGGGCCCGCAAAAGTTCAGCGCCCACCCTACGAACCACCAGGAGCCCATTGAATACCCCATCCGACTGCTGGAGTCCAGGCGCACCTTTCATTTTATTAAAATTTGAATTTTGTATACATATTAATCATTTGTTGTTATTATTGGATCACAAATTTAGTTTTAAATATATATTGTTTTTAATATTAATATCTTTTTTTAAATGACTAGGCATAGACTTGTCACCATGTTCTGGAGGTATTGAATTACTTCGCGAATCTGGTTTTTGGATGCTTTGTTTTTATGACCTATTTTTTGAAGGCTTGCTTCGTTGGTGATGGGTACCTAATATAGTGATTCTTTGTCAGATTGCAACTGAATACATAATGATCAGGAACGCGTCTTTTCCCGTATATTTTTCCATTGTGTATTATTAACGTATACACAATATTTAAAACAATACTAAATATACAAAAAACAGGAAAACTTTAATTAATTTTTGTCATATATCTACGAAGGAAAGTCGATGAAGTTAGTAGGAAACGGCGAAAAAGCCAAAGGTGCAAAATGCTATTGCTTGAAAGAGAATATATATCCTTTAAAAATATCAGGTATGTGTTCTCTTTCTGAATGTTGTTTTCTTTTCTTTTTCTCTTTATCTTAACATCTCTGACCTCTTCTTCAAAATCGCATGCGTTTTTCCTCTTAAAACATTTGTTCAATGTGATTTATTTATGTTTAAATTTTAAAATGTTCCTAAAGAAAGACACGGAATTGATATTGAAAATATTATGCTACTACTTTATCAAGGTAGCAATATTCTATAAACTTCTTATCCCATTTTGAACAAATTTGGCAAATCAAATAACTGGGAACGTCTTTAATTCCATCTGCTTCTTAACGGTCCACCAGCGGCCGAGCGGTAAAGTCGCTGAATACTGGTAGTTCGGTCCGAGGTTCGAGTCCCGCGAACGGGCTGGCTGCAGGGGTGCTTTCGTGGTTTTCCCCATGTGTAGCGTGTATACGAGCCAGTCCCTTAGAAAGTCTTCCAAGAAGGCATCCCCCCCTTAGGCAGATAGCGTTCGAGGCTTTACCATAATTAAATAACCTAACCATCTGCTTCTTCTGAAGACATTTCCGCCACTGCATTTTAAAACATCATTGTCTGGCGGCTTATTTGTTCGTTCGTATCTCGAGATGCCATTCGTCATCCACGACATTTTTCATTTGGAAAATTTGCTCTTTACCGATCTGTTCGTGATCCATTACGTTCGTGAACCAAGTTCCCACAGTATTGTTTAAATGTTAAAACTAACTGTTGCCACTTAGGTGGTGAAGGCACACTCTTGTTCTTGCTATAGTCTATAAATGCATATTGAAAATTTTAAACACAATTTATGTAAAAAAGAATTCTAAAATATCTAAGTATATTAGTGCATGGAAAATCTTTTCAATTACTAATAATAACAGAGAGCTTTCAAAGATTTATGTGTAATATTGCATTAAACATTCTATTGAAAAACATTTTAAGATCTAAATCAGCCTAATTCTTCGCTGAAACTGCAGTTTAAGATAGAAGGAGTGAATGGAGGGGCTATTGTTCATAATGAATTGCTATTTTTCTTCAAGTCCTCTCTTTTTTCGCAATACAGAGATCGAGAATTCATTGTAAAACGGCGAAACATGAAATTGGCCGCATAATAAACCTTAAAAATTACTGTCACAAATCCCGCAATTTCATTTATAAAGCGTGTGCAAAAGGAAATAATGGTATATACTAGCTTAACTGAAACTGAAACAAACTTACCATCCCGTTTCCTTCTTCGACAGCAAACCATCTGTCTGCGATAAATTCATACTTTAAGCCTGTGTGGATGTCCTTTACTACCACATACTTCAAGTACCACGATGCACTACTGCCTTTTCCAGAATTATCGTGCCAGATACGAAGGTAATTTAGCTGACCTAAGCATCTGATACAAAATTTATCATTTGAGATATCGTGATTGGAATCTTGATAATTTGCAAAAATACTGAGACATCAGAAAAACAGTAAACTAATTAATAATACCGATTAAAGTGCTAGATAAGGGTAATGATTTATTGAATAAATAACATTGTTAACGGAAGAAAAGACTAATAAAATATTTTGATTATTATAGTTAGTAAAGCGCTGTCTAGCTAATTGTAGAATTGTTCGAAAATTGAATTAGATTCTTTTTAACTATCTAAATTAAAGAAATGTTACATTTTAAAATTAATGTTATCTTTATTACAAAACTGAAAATAATTAACATAGCAAATAATTATTTTAGAAGAGAATGCTCCGACAGAAAAGTTTCATTTTTAATCTAATTTCTCAGGCTATCTGAAAATGGAAGCTTCTTTACAGTAAAAGTAATTCCAAATTTATAAAAGATAACACTATTTTCGTTCCTTTGAAAGCATTTATAATAAACTAATATGTGATACGATGTCCTTATGTTAAATAATCAAACTCTAGAGTCTATTAGGATAATCGAAGCAGGAAACACGGAAAATCGAGTAATGTCTCGCCCAAATTCGATCTCCGGATCTTTCAATTGCCAGATGGATGTGCTAGCAATTACGCCACGAAGGTACGCTATGAGTAAAGTGAAGATTTGTCATATAGTTTCAAATCATTTAATATAAAATTAATGAATTATTTATGGCTTAATTTATATCTCTTGTATTATTTATGAATTAATTAACTATTGCATTATTTATGAATTAATTTCTGAAATTCTTATAGGTTTGAATTAGTCATTTAAACTGAGAGTGATATAATATTAAAATCACTCACCTTGGCACAGACATGACAAACATATTCAAGGCTCCTCGTTTGAATATTTCCCGCTGATCATCCGTAAATGTTCGTACTTCTGTTTCGTCATCTTCGCCAGATAAAATAAAATGGACCTATAATAAAAATGTGATTGTAAGTAAATACAGATTAAAATAAGTGGATTAAAATTCCAGTTGCCTATTTCATATTCTAGTCAATCTATGTAAAAATAACTACATAGTCTAATAAATCTATGTAATAAAGCTTTTGCCTTTAGTGGTCCTAGCATTCATGGTGTACAACCAAAGAACGTTACCTAAATATATATATATATATATAGCCTACATATAGTGCATGCACGTGCGGTGATTTAATTTGCGAATATTTTATTCGTGCTTTGGACTGAAGAAGACTCTTTTTTTTTTCTTGTTTTTCATACATTTATTCCTGCTAGCATCGCTTCCCTTCCTTTGAATGTTTCTCAGATGTATTATTGTTCACCTACCGAGCTTTTCCGTACTGGCTTTTCACTGTTGGAGAATTTTTAGATTTCTATTTCAAAGAGAAGGAATCCCCCAGCGATGTGTTGTTAGCGCTTCCGGTCACTAACTGGACTAAAGGGGGGGGGCGTAACTTCCTGTTCCACGTTTTGCATACAGAACTCGAAAAAGAGAGCAGAAAATTACGCTTCACTTTATTAGCTGTAATACTAAGAAGAAATATAAGACTTCGTACTTCATTCATTTTATCTCCTTTTATCGCTTCTCTTTCATTTTTTGCCACATATTAGGTGGAGACGTTAGGCGTTAGCATATATACTACTTTTTAAGAAAATGGCCCAAATCTGAGAGTACTTTAAAAAAAGGTCATTCTAAATTAATTTTTGATGGTTATTTCACGTGTAAAGACAAAAACAGAAATGATTTGTTTTATCGGTGTTACGAGAAGCTCAAAACTCTGAATTGTAGAGGGTATGCAAACTCTGTACTTGAAGCTGGACAACATCACCTTCGAAACCAAAGAAGCTGTCAAACATAATCATAAACCTAAATGCTGCAAAAATAAACAAAAAATATGAAAGGTTTCAAATTTTAATGATCGCCCAACAGGATTTTTTACGGCTTTTATACTCTCCCTGAGCTTGCAGTCTACCAGTTTGCTGTTACATTCACTTGTACTAGCCTATTTTTTCTTAGGTCTTTTTACCTTATTATTAATAACCTTCGCACTTACGCCATATACAATTCAAAAGCAAAATTGCAAAAATTTTACAGGCAGTATGTATTTAGAATTTCTGATAAAATATTAAGTGATGGCATATACTTTCCTGTTTTTCTCCCAGTCTTTTCTCAGTTTATCATATCAATGTTCAGTTATTTTTACTAAAATGGCTTTACAAAACTCTTTTTCTTGTTTTTTTATTATTAATGTTTTTTGTGCTTACATTATTTATTAAACATCACGTTCTTGACGCTTACGCCACATAACATTCGATTCAACACCGAAACCGCAAAATATTAAAAAAAAGCATATCTTGAGAATTTCCGTGCTGGAGATAAAAGTGGTTTATTCCGTACAGTGTTGTCATTGCTCGTTTAGAAGTCGTTGAATTTGCTAATAAAAAATTCGTTAAAATTTTTACAAAATATGAAAGAGATAATAAAAACAAATTCGAAACTCAAAATTCAGGATTCCAGGTACTCAGGTTTGGGAGAAGGATTATGTTATTAAAAATTTGATAGCTCTAGGTACCGTTGTTTTTTCAAAGTGCGAGAAGCATTCATACAGATTATTCATTATTTAATTTCTTTACATATAATACAGGCCGATAATATTTGGTGGCAACAATTTGAAAAGTGATACATTAAACATTTCAATGCAGTGATACATTTCATTCAATTTCAATTTCATTCGAGTCTGTAGCCATTCGGCCGTTTCGAGACTAATATGCAATTCTGGACCAACGTCCCCTCGGGGCTAAAAAATATGTTTCTGCAGTAGTAGATAAATATTATTAATATATCAGTGCGAATTATTCTAGAGGGAATTTATGATGTCCCGTAGAAAATCGTTCTGCAATGCCTAGTCGTCATGCTCTCTGTCAAGTTATGAAAAGAGCCTTAAAGAAGTTTCGCCTCCGCAATAAGGCAAAAATATTGATAATCCAATAGAAAATGAAAATTTTCTAATAAATGATACATCCTTTATAAGAGAACGTATACTTTTATTCCTCCTCCCTCCTTCCCGAAAAGGCTGCTCATTTGAAAGAAGCCTATTATCAGTAGATTATCAATAGAGATAGGTCAAGTAGAATTAGGAAACATTTTATATGAATATGCATTGAGAATAACATGGGAATGTTCTATAACTTCTGTGCGTCTGTAAAGCGACAAAATACGTTAAGTAGGTCTATAAAAATATCGAATGCTTTTAACTAGATGTGTCATAGCTTATTATGTTAATCCATAATGGACAGGCACATTTTGAATGATATATTTTGCCGAATGGCTACAGACTCGAATGAAAAGTTAAACAACATGTCGTGTTTTGAGACTAATAGCACTTTTTGGCTAAAAAAGGAAAAAAAGAAAAAGAACCTTTTAATGTTACCCAGAATGAACTAGTATTCTGATAGGTCCCTAGTCCTTAAAAAATGCAAATGAGAAGGTTACTACTCACTATATGTACATGCTGGGAAACCGTGTTGTCTGACAAGTGTATCCGTTGGGCAACCGAGTTGTCGAGCCACTTACCAGACCGATTTCCATGATACCACTTTCATTGTGTCTCAAAATTCTCTTAATGTCATATTACAGATCTCGTGTATGCGCAAATTATTATTTTATTGTCAGTTACATAAGTTTAGGAATGATAGCTAAAAGTGATAAAAAATATTTCAGTACTTTAAGAAAAATCGTGTAACTTGATTTTTTATTATATTATAATTTATAATAATTTTGTATTGAACAGGAAATTGCTTCCCAAAGAATTATCTTTATTTATATTTTAAATTAGTGTTAAACAAAAGAGCTTCTTAAATGTGTCATAAGTGCAACTAAAATGTTATATTTTAAAGAATAATTAGAAGACTGTATGTAAGTTGTTGAATTTTAAACATAAATTGTGAACACACTTTCAGACTTTCATACAGTTGTAAAAAGCATTATTATGAAAGGGTTCTGAAATAGTATTTAAAGCGGCAATACAGCTTCTAATGTATATTAAATGCAGTTGATAAACGATACGGAAACTATAGCAGCACTATTGATTCCTTGTAGCTTGATTATATACACCAAATGTCAATTAATTAATTTGTTATTTCTTATTGCAGAATATTTAAAATAAAATAAAGTGTGAAACAACATGTAGAAGAAGAATTTATGTAGAAACACTCAAATTACCTTGGATTTGGTTCCAGCATTGTACTGGAAGCCAGTCTGCACCATAATTTCATAGAAATATTTATCTTGTATATCATTATCCAAAAGTGGAGTTGCACCTAACTAAGAATCCAGAAGAGAAAATTATTATTTGTTAACTTTTTTACGTAAATATTATTATTCATTAAATGCAACGCATAAAGAAAGTAATAAAATACTCTAGGATACGAGATAATATATTCTTCCGAATTATAATAAATTAGGTCAGCAATGGAGAAAAGTATGCTCCGATTTTAGTAGAATATTTGCTTTCTTATATTTTAGCACTCGGCAGTAATTAACGCTTCTTCTTTTTAGAAATGTTTTTGGCCCAAGGAAAAAAATAAAATAATAATCTTTCTATGCTAATTTAGCATCCATCTTCATGTTAATATAAAATGCAGTAAATTTCAAAATAAAATAATATTGAAACTAATGCTTACACATTCGAAATTTATACAGTCTTAAAACTTTCAGAATAAGAATTATAATATGATATCTAAGTAATTGCATGAGGTTGGAAAATACAATAATATATAACAATATATACTTATATTTTAACTGTAAGGTAACAACAGGTACTTACTTTTTTGAGATCCTTCTTGTCTTTCCATCTAGCCCATATAACCAAGATAATATATACGGAAAATGTAACGATGAGTGTTGAGTAGATAGTGACGTTGTCTTCGAAGTTAGCGTTGGCAAACACATAGCTGAAATCGATTTGATTGGGAGCGACCAAGAAACCACTGCCAAACATGGTCAGATGATTGCACAGGCAGCAGATCATATCTGATTTTGCTGAATGTACCTGCAAAGAAAGAAATTTCTTGTCAAACGTTAGAATTCTTAGAAACCCATTACGTGCACAGATTACACATTTACAGCGGTCCTGTATATCTATCTTTATAAGGAAAGTTATAGAATTTTTTCAAAATTATCTTCTTGTTCCCAATACACAAAACTCACTCCAATAACACGTTGAATGATCAGTTCAAATAACAAGCGTGTCGGATTCTTTCTTACTGATATAACAGTACCTACACAGCATTAAGCAGAGAATAAACGTTATACTGCAAAATTATGCATGTATAAATCCCTTAAATGTCTGTAGGATTAAATGACCTCACAAGTAAGCATCAGATCTGAATAACATTTATCAGTCTCTCGATAACCTTGTAAGGATTATGTCAATTTTATTAACAGTTAATTTTTGAGTTAAAGTTCCTTTCCTTTCGATTCTTAACTTCAACTTACTACTTCCGGCCAGAACGTAGTTTTAGAATCACGTCTGAATACATAATGAAGAAGAAGACCGGTATTTAACCGCGAAGTTCTTCGGTCTTATTGAGAGAGTTACCTGGTATCCTGTCTGCACGCGTCCGCCTTTTTAGGCTACTCTCTCGTAAGCTATTATTACGCTGGGCAGTACTTTAGGCCCTTGATAGCTTCGCAGTCAATTAGCGTTAATGTGCCAACTCAGTTAGAATCTTGATAGCTTCGGCTATATCTCTTTAGTTTAGATTAGTTTTAGTTTAATTCTTAGCCTCTTAAATTCAAGTCCAAGTGTCGGCTTTTAATGTACACTCCAAGACGGAGTTCTGTTAAATCTTATTTGAATAATAAAGAATTATTTGCACTTCCATCTTGCTGTTTTTTGTCACACTAACACAAGCGCTTATTCGCTTATCGGATCTTAAGATTCTTCACGTTCAACTGTAACATAGCATTTACAAAGTGAGGAATTCGACAACCTATCAAGTGTTCTGGAAACTGTCAATAAATTAGAAATGAGATATGTCAGAATTGTATTCGATCGATGCTATGATATTCAATTTATGAGACTTCCTGAAAATTCTAAGTTGATATATATTTCGAAATTCAGCATATTTTCTATATTGTATATTTCAGTTCTTATTAATTCTCGTTTTAATCCCTATTCTCGTCAGGTAATTTAAGAATGGAAAATTAAAACTAATTTTAAAATTAAAACTGGAAATATATCATTCAATACGGCACAATGTCCAGCAAATAAATCTCCTACTATGAAAGGAAAATTGCAGAGTTTTCACAGTTTGCGATTTGCCATCTTCAGGCATAAATGTTTAAAATCATTAATCTCTAATTATCACATATAAATACAGGATGTTATCACATCATTTTAGAACGATAACTAATCGTACCAGTTTGCTTTAAAGATGCATCTTCCTGATGCCATTATATACTCTAGAATCTTGAAATTCCGCTTAGTTTTTTTCGCCGTTTTCTGGCAGTTATTATTAAAATTTCCCATGAAATTTTACCCTTGAATCCATCAGTAGTCCATTACTTAATTAAGATTTGCGCTTTCTAATCCCAGAAGATAAAAAAATGGCATGCCAGCCAACGTATTGTCACCAAAGAAAATGCGGAAATCCTCCCCTTAAGATTTCCATTGACGCTCTTGTTATAGTTGCACAGTTCAGCGCAATAACACATTATTACAACCACTGGTGAAATGACAAAAAAAAAAAAAAAAAAAAAAAAAAAAAAAAAAAAAAAAAAAAAAAAAAAAAAAAAAAAAAAAAAAAAAAAAATCAATATAAAGTACTTTTTTATTTGCACAATTAAAATATATATCTATGTTGTTTTGTTATTTTTATTTCATACTGGGTAAGTTTAGCCTTGCACACTGCAGAAAAAAACTTATAATCGTAATTAGGGATGAGTAAAATAAACAGTATAACCTTGCATCCATCACCACTCCATGCTGATATTTCTTCGGAAAAGTAGTAACAGCCTGTTTTAAATAACCCAATGGAATAGCCTGATTGAAATTCATTAGTCATATCGTCTCTTGATAAGTTTCTTTCTGGGCTTAATATAGCTACCTCTCCAGAGGATTCATTAGATAAGTGGCCTACTGCAAAGTAGAATTCTTTCTCATATTTTCCATCATTATTGTCTACAGCAATCAGTATGTCATAAGAAACTAAAAAAAAAAAGGAAATTGTGTTATACTATGCAATTTAATAACATACTTTAACGTAAAAGATAAAAGTATCCGAAAAAAAACAAAGACTAAGAGTATAAAACTGTAATGAAAGAAACAATTACTAAACCATTTTGATTCGACACTTATGAAATTTTAAGCATTGAGCATGACTCTTGTACGCTCTTTCAATATTTATTATTGATTTAATGATTGTGAGTTCAGTTGTTAGTTATGACGAGTATTCATCGCTTGAAGCTGCATAATCGAGTCAATAGAGTGCTTTTGGCAAAAACAGGCACTAGCTGTGGAGCACCCATTTAGTCAAATAATGAATACAGTCTACAAAATTAAAAATTATGAAAACAGTTTTATCTTCGTTTGCTAAGTCAATTTCATTTTAATTCATTGATTATATTTATAACCTTATAAGGCAATATTCTAGAATATAAATTGGATAACATCTCTCGAGCATAATTTTACATATTTTACAGCATGCATTCCATTGATTAGAGAGTTATATTCTTTTCACAACCCTGAGCTGCCTGTAGACAATAAATATGCTTCACAATCTAATCATTAATTTAATGCATTTGTATATGTTTTTAAGTAAACATTCAATGAAACGTTTTATGTAAAATTTTTCATTAGAATTTGAAATACTCATGTGACTGAATATATTGATCCAACATCTGAGACAATTATAGAACTTTAATTTATCAAAACATCATTTTTTCACATATTTACCTTTAAAATCAGATTCTATTTTATTTCCCCTTATTAGTGAATCACAAATTATTTGTGATCTGCACTATCGTAAGATACTGCAGATCAGCATATAAGAAATTATTGCATTCCTACATGCATGATATCGTGGCGTAAGGCTTCTTCAGACGAGAGCTTTTCGGTCATAAGGTCATAAGCTCATTATGTATTTTAAGGCTTAAAAATTCGTTCACAACTATTTAACAGGCTTTAAGCACCTATTTAACAGGCTTTAAGCACCTATTTAACAGGGTAACCTATTTAACAGGCTTCACACCTATTTAACACGGTAAGGGAAAGTAAAGTTGCGCATGCATAAATGTGCAGCTGATATAGCGAAACCGTCAACTGAATGTCAGTTCATGCTTGCTTCTCTAGGATTGGTCGATTCTTATATTAAAGTTGAAAACCTAGAACATTTACTCAAAATCCTTAAATTAGTTTTTGTAACATTGCAAGGTCTGGTTGCCTAGCAGCGGAGCTCGATTTAAACTTTTTATGACCGAAAAGCCTTCGTCTAAACGAAGCTGATAGCACGGCCGCTATTAATCGGAAGATCCGTGAATTGAATCCCAGAGTGGGCTACCTGATTTCTTCTGTTTCCTGCTCCAAGGAAAATTTAATGTCTCTTCAAGTCATGTTTAAATACTAATGTTTGTGCAGATAATGCCAAATGTAGCGGCTGTAAGTAATGCAGCTGTCATAAGGAGCTGAATGTATTGGACATGTATTTACAGAAACGCATGTAAATTCTTAACATAAAAGATAAACATATAATGAAAAAATGTATTTGAACTTATTTGCAAACATAAAACCGTATATAGACACAATATACAGCAAAGTGTGATGAATTTAACTGAATGAGAATGCTCAGGTAGTAGCCAAATAGATGAGTCTAAAAATATAGAATACCATGTGTAGAGGAGATAGAGATAAAAAATTAGTAAAAACTAGAGAATTTAAATGCAACAAAAATATGGAAGATCATAGGTTGGAGCGTGGTAAATAATACGTTAGTATAAAGCAGACACGAGGCATCTATTGCAAGAAAATAGATAGTTCCCAAGACAGGAAAACAATGTACGAAACGGGAGCACTGCTGGATATGTTAAAATTAATATAATCCTTAAAACATTTATGGATTACCTAAGTCTGACATACCAACGTCTTTACAAACTTGACAATACTAAATAAAATTGACAGTACTACAGAGAAATATCACAGCATCTTACATGAGTGCAAGATACAATTATATATATTGTTAACATTTATTATTATTCACATGATACTAGAAAGAGAAGTATGTTTGCTATCACTTTTGCCCTTAGCTAGAAAACAAATA